GGAAAGAATACATGGAGTTGATACTGTTTCGAAATGAATAAATTTCCAATTGAAAAGGAAGAAAGAACAAATTTCTTTACAAAACTTGCAATTCACTCTAGTGTTTAAATTTCGTGTATCAAAAGCCTACTAATGTGCATGCAGAGCGAGAAGGTCCCTTTCTCTATTTAACCTCCTCTAACACCTAACTCTATACAGATACTATAGCAAATGGCCTCTCCGTGTCTATAAGCTCTATGGTTTCCACTAAACATGTTGAATGTCATTTAGAGTCATCGTATCAACACGTCAAAGATGAAACATCAATCAGAACTGTGGCGGAATGTACCGTTCCCAATTCTTTGCGCAGCTGCAAAAAAGTATTACTTCACAAATCCGTAAATCAAATAAAAAGTAATATTAATTAAATTACTCTAATTAAATTGCATTTGAACGTGGGAAACAAACGACAAAACCGATTAGATATGAAAACTACATACAGGTAGTCAAGCCTTTTCGAATGAATGCCAGAATATAAGCAGAAAAATTATTTAATGGTATTAATAAGCTGACGCAGTTGTAAACAGTAACAAACTCATATGGTAAAAAATCACTTTCAAATCCTCCGAAAGCACGCAATGGTCAAACAAAAATACTCTATCAATAAATTGTATAATGTTCCTAGTAAAGATAATCTAAACTAGTCATAGAGGAAATAATTCCTGTAACGAGTTAAACCCTAACTATGCAATTCAGGGTACGTCGTATGTACATACATTCACTGTCGTTAATTAACCAAATAAGGGTGTAATCGTAACGATACCTTAACAAACGCAAATACATGGAAGAAATAAAACACAAGTCATTAATTTTGACGGAAGCACATTCATTTCGAACTAACAAACCCAAAAAAAAAAAGAAAAGAAAATGAGAGAAATGCCGAGACAAAACGGAACGATTAGGCAACGGTGATCGATTGCTATTGAGTGATCCTTCCTTTTATTATCATATCTCGATATCTCTTAGGGCTCTTATAANTCTCTCTCTCTCTCTCTCTCTCTCTCTCTCTCTCTCTCTCTCTCTCTCTCTCTCTCCCTCCCTCACATTCATTTAAAACTTCTTTTATCACCTGCCGAGGAAAACGTGGCAACGTGCGAGAAACACTTAATCGGACAAAACCTTCGGAGATGAGCTCCCTGTCTTATCACTCCGGTCAAAGAATTCAGAAGTCTCCATAGAAGCCTAGAAGGATACGGACGTTCGGTGCTTGACATATAGTACGTTAGCCGACGCATGGCGGCGCTGTAATCATCTCCCCATCTCTCTTAACCTATTAACTGCGAAATTTACTGTAACGTTACGGGTTACCGACGTGTATGCACGTCGAACACAGTTAACTGGTTAATCTCACGGAAATACATAACGAATTGCATTCTTTCTTTATCTTACACACATTACAGACTTTCTATATGCGTCTCTCTCCCTCCCGTATGTGAGATGTGTGATTCCTTTGACCCTGGTCAAAGAATTCAGAAATCTCCGTAGAAGCCCAAAAGATACGGACGTTCGATGCTCGACATATAGTACGTTAGCCGACGGATGGCGGCGCTGTAATAATTTCCCCATCTCTTTTAACCTATTATCTGCGGAATTTACTGTAACGTTACGAGTTACGGAATTCATTTCTGAATCCTTTGACCCTGGTCAAAGAATTCAGAAATCTCCGTAGAAGCCCAGAATGATACAAATGTTCGATGCTCGACAAATAGTTCGTTAGCCAACGGATGGCGGCGCTGTAATCATCTCCCCATCTCTTTTAACCTATTAACTGCGGAATTTGCTGTAACGTTACGGGTTACCGACGTGTATACACGTCGAACGCAGTTAACTGGTTAATCTCACGGCAATACATAACGAATTGCATTCTTTCTTTATCTTACCCACAGTACAGAATTTCTATACGCCTCTCTCTTCCTCCCTTATGTGAGATATCGTTGGCTAACACATGTTCCGTCTTTTTTATCCCGATCCTGGTTTATTAGCCAACTTTTAGAGCACGAAACGCTAACATAGGATCTGGGCTATCTTCTGAATCCTTTGACGCTGGTCAAAAAATTCAGAAGTCTCCGTAGAAGCCCAAAAGATACGGACGTTCGATGCTCGACATATAGTACGTTAGCCGGTGCATGGCGGCGCTGTAATCATCTCCCCATCTTTCTTAATCTTCCGGGAATACGTAGCCGATTGCATTCTTTCTTTATCTTACAGACAGTACTCGCCTTTCTATACACGTCTCTCTTCCTCCCGTATGTGAGATATCGTTGGCTAACACATGCTACTTCTCTATTATCCCAATTCTGGTTTCGTAGCCAACTTTTAAAGCATGAAACGCTAACATTGGATCTGGGTTATCTTCTGAATCCTTTGACCCCGGTCAAAGAATTCAGAAGTCTCCGTAGAAGCCCAGAATGATACAAATGTTCGATGCTGGACAAATAGTTCCTTAGCCAATGGATGGCGGCGCTGTAATCATCTCCCCGTTTCTCTTAATCTTCCAGCTATACATAGCGGATTGCATTCTTTCTATATCTTACACACAGTTCTCGCCTTTTATATCCCCAATCCAGGTTTGTTAGCCAACTTTTAAAGCACGAAACGCTAACATAGGATCTGGGCTTCCATGGAACTTCTGAATTCTTTCCCCTGATGTCTGTCATCCGTCCCCTTACGACTTTCTTAGCCACGAGGTTTCGTTGGCCAAAGCCCCGCTAACGGCGCCCCTCGTTTGGACTGCTTTCAGAATTGACTTGTCCCTTAAACGTTACCTTTAAAACGTTACAAAGTTAGATCACATCGTACGAATGCAAAAAACGACAGTGCTAAGAGGACTAGACGCTACGTTAGAATTAGTAGAAATACGGAGACTGAGATTAAGCGGACAGTAACATCCTAAACAAACGGATCCCTCTTGAGTTTGTTTGTACTTTTTTGATTAGGGTTAATATTCGGTTTGGCCGAGCGCGTTTGCTATAAGTAATTAACATTCTCTCCGACGCAGCGTCGAACGTTCTAAGAATTCAGAAGTCTCCATAGAAGCCCAGAAAGACACGGACGTTCGATGCTCGACAAATAGTACGCTAGCCGACGGATGGCGGCGCTGTAATCACCGCCCCATCTCTCTTAATCTTACGGCTATACATAGCGGATTGCATCATTTCTTTATATTACACACTGTACTGCCTTTCTATACGCGTTTCTCTTTCCCTGTATGTGAGATACGTTGATTAACACATGCTACCTCTCTTTTATCCCCAATCCTGGTTTGTTAACCAACTTTCAGAGCATTAAACGCTAACATAGGATCTGGGCTTCCATGCAACTTCTGAATTCTTTGCCGAGGAGCTCGCCACCGGTGATTTTCAATGAGACAGAAATAAATTTCCGTCTATACATACAAACTGCTCGAAAATATCCCGGAAATCCTGAATTTTAATCGTATACCCACGTAAACCACTCTAAAATGAGTACCGTTAAGTCGCGAAGTACACGCTAGGTGTCTCTGAATGTTAGAGAATTAAATTCCACATTTCTAAACGAACGGATCTTACAAAGCCGAGTAATAGTTAATAAAGGAACGTTTAATTGTATCCTCTCGTTAATCTATTGCGCAGAAGGACCATGTCGTTGTGTACGTAATTTTTGTTTAAACTTTTTCAACCTATGCGAGGTAACGTAACTCCCTCGCGATTCTAAATCCTTCGGCCACTAACGAGTTATCTGGCTTTCTGCCTTTTGGCATTTCATTTCAATCCCCGTGTAACGAGAATCTATCGTTGAATTTATTTTACTAATTTCTTTTTTTGATGTATACGCATCTTCTAATTCAAGACACTCGCATCGACGATGCAAGAATATCATTGAGACTCGTGGAACGAGTTTGTCTCCGTGAATTATTCTATCCATCAAACGAAAAAGTTTAAATTTTTGCGATTATTACTTTTCGGCTTAAGGCGATATGAAAGTGGGATATATACGTACACTGGGAGACATCAATGCCCTCCCACCCTGCACAGGCGATGCCGTATCTGCAGGAGAGGCNTTGAAACAAATGGTTCGCAAAGTTGAACGTAATGCAGACTGCGATTTGAACTTCACTAAATAAAGAACGCGATGCTCGTGAAATTTTCTTTAAAAAAAATATATATATCGTATTTATCTCGGACAAGAACCAAAGAAAGATATATTTTCTTTTTTTTTCCTTAAAAAACGAAATTTCACGAGCATCGCGTTCTTCCTTAGGGCTTTCATAATCACGTGCCGAAGTTTCAAATGATTCGGTGCACCCAATTAGGAGAAAAGTTTTATAAACAAAACCTTTTCGACGCCACTTTAACATCACCTTAAGATGATATGAAAGGGTTATTATATATATATATAAAAACGTGTGAATATTTATAAAACTTTTCTCCAAATTGGGTGCACCGAATCATTTCAAACTTCATCACACGATTGTGGAGGTCCTAAGGAAGAACGCAATGCTCGTGAAATTTCATTCTTCGAAGAAAAATTCGTACTTATCTGGGACATGAACCAAAAAAGATATTTTTGTTCGAATAATGAAATTTCACGAGCATCGCGTTCTTCCTTAGCCCTTTCATAATCACGTGCTGAAGTTTCAAATGATTCGGTGCACTCAGTTTGGAGAATAATTTTATAAATATTTACACGTTTCGATATATATAGAATTACCCTTTCATATCACCTTAATTGAGGAAGCTTAATTATTGTTGAAACAAATGGTTCGCAAAGTTGAACGTAATGCAGACTGCGATTTGAACTTCACTAAATAAAGAACGCGATGCTCGTGAAATTTTCTTTAAAAAAAATANCAAATGGTATTAATAATTGAAAAAAAAGAAAGATTATTTTTACTCCGAGCTCGAAGAAATGCTTTTATATATATATACATATATGCTCTCGTACGCCATGAAGTCCAGGTATATAAAGAGAAATCCGCTAGATTCGTTTGGCAAATTAAATTAAAATAAAGAGCTTTATTTCAGCGACTTGCATGTGTTCATAAACCTCACAAATATAATTCATGGTAAACCTCTATATATTATATACACCTTTCATATCCGATCACGTGAAGATTATGAATACAATAAATGAAGGAATTGCTCGTATATTTGAACGTTCACGAGTGTCACATTTGGCAGGATAAATCGAACGCGAAAGAAAAAAACGTCTGCTGGAATTGTTAGTGCTACTCTGTCCCGATAAAAGTTAGTCCAGTGAACTGAATTAATGTAAGAATTAAATTAAACAGTTTTTCATGGGACCTCTCCAATGCAGATATTGATAAGAATACGGGACCCTAGATAAAGTTCCCCGCCAAGTATACTTTGAGCTCGACTAGTCGGTACCCCGTAGTAAAAATAAACTCTTCTTTTTTCCAGATTAATAATACTACGTATTCCCTTCCAATGATGCCGGGGCAACGAATCGTTCTTAGTTAGAAAAAGCGGATCTAACATTTTTAACGTGGTCTTTCCACGAGTCGCAATATCGTGACCTCCCGTTAATTCGCTTGAGAAAAGTAAGAGGGCGCCTCACTCGCAATAGAAGGGGAAAGAAAAAGGAAAGCCGCCATTCTAGGTGATCAAAAAAGGAAGTAGATTCTTTTCGCCACCAGACTAGAACCATAGGTAGTACGCTCTCGTTTCTATGTCGATAAAGGGAGAAAAAAAAAGACAAATCGCATAAGGAAAATTTCGCTAACTCCTTCGGCATAGAAAATATGCCCCGCCTTCGCAACTTTAAGTTCCGTTCGTTACGTTAAATCCATCTAAATCGAACGAGACTACGAATTCCTTAGCGAATATGTATCATCGAGGTCACGTTAAAATTAAGTTAAAACGCTAAGCCGTGATATCGTGATGTAGCCGAGATAACGCGAATCAATAGGGATTCAGGTGTTCGGTACGGCAATAGTGGGTATTAATGTCCAAGCCCGAAACTCCGCATTTGCACGGTACATCGTTGTTGGCTGTGGGCCACGATAACTCGATCGTTACACTAAATTCGCATTAGTTTCCTTTCATATAATTTTTTTTCTTGCGCTAGCTGTAGATCTCGCAAAGATCTTGCGTTATTGTAAGCCGTATTTCTAAACCCGCCGACATTGAAGATTCATCAGCAACTCTCGCAGGTCCCGTTTTGACATTTTTCACCGAGTTAGTTCTTCCTTTACTCGTCCTCGGTATCACCGTCGCTGCTGTAGTCTTGCAGGGCAGCAGCCCTCGGAAATGGTGCATTGTTTGTCTGACTGAAATATGAAACAGACTATTGTAAAATGCTATTTCTCTTTCTATAGGATACAGAGGAACGATTGAATTATGCAATTGAGTATCTAATTTTAAAAACGGCAATCCGCGTTTCACCTATAACGTGATATGAAAGGCGCTGAGAAATTTAATCGATAAATTCAAATTCATCCATGCTCTTTTTGGTGGTAACGCCATTTTGAATACTCAGGTGGTAACATAAGATGGCGCGTCTCGTTACCGACATTTATATTTATGTTGAAGTCTTTTACAGTCTACGTTGATAATTATACGAACCGAAGGTGATATGAAAGAGTCAGCTTATATAGATATTTGAGAAATCAAATCGTTGGGGAAAGTATCCTCCGAATTGGGTGTACCGATTAGTTTCAAGTTTTACCACGCGGATATGGCGGCCCTAATGTGGGTCCCGAATCTCATAAACTTTAATTTTTAATACAAAATTGATTTATTCACCATGGACTAGAACCAACATAACGTAGTTTAGACATGCTTTAAATGTTTTACGCTTCTTGGAGGCTTAGAATCGAAAATGAAGTATGCATGAAGTGAGTATTCAAAATGACGTTACCACCAAAAAGTGTATAGATGAATTATAATCGATCGACCTCGATTCAATTTTCTCAGCGCCTTTCATATCATTTTAACGTGATATGAAAAGGTCAGCCTATTTATATCTAAGAGGTCCAATGGTTAGTGAAAGAATTTTCCGAATTGTGTATACCGATTCGTTTCAAATTTTACCACATGAATATGGAGGCCCTAAGGTATGCCCCGAAACTCATGAAATTTCATTTTTCATCAAAAATTTATTTACTTATCATGGACTAAGACCAACATGAAGTAGTTCGGACACGTTTTTGATGTTTTACGCTCCTTGCAGGCTTAGAATAGAAAATGAAGTGAGTATTGAAAATGATGTTACCACCAAAAAGGGTATAGATGAATTATAAGTAATCGACCTCTATTCAATTTCCTCAGCGCCTTTCATATCATCTTGAAAATCGTTTAAAATTATTCATCCTCATCTCACCATCTACTCATCTTACCATCCACAAGGATAACTTTTTATAAGTTATCCTGGTGGTGTATATTATAATTAATCGACCTCTATTCAATTTCCTCAGCGCCTTTCATATCATCTTGAACACCGTTTAAAATTATTCATCTTCATCTCACCATCTACTCATCTTACCATCCCCAAGGATAACTTTTTGTGGTGTATAAGATAAGTTTTTTTATATATAGATAAGTTTTCCATTCTCCGTGCAATTAGTCCCGCTTGGAATTATCCGTTCCTGGGTCAATCCAGGATACTTACGCAAGTCTTCGATAATGGTTAAGCCATTCCTCGAGCATCTGAGCGACGAGAAGGGGCCTCTTGAGGAGTTTCTGTTGCGCCACGAGAATTCCACCTTCGGTCGTGCAAACGTCGAGCCACTGCTTCAAGATGGCCTCCTCGCGGCCGATCTCGTCGGAGCTTAGGAAATGAATCGGCAGCAACTTGCACTCGCGATCCATCAGCGGCATAAAGGTGGTTTGCATCTGCATCTGCATCTGCTGCATCGGACTGTTGCCACCACCGACTCCGACCCCGCCATGGGACGACAATGGTGGTATCCTCGAGGACGCATAGGGCTCGATCGGCACCAGGGCGGTGAAATGACCCCTGGTGTACCCGAGGGCGATTGGCGAGCGAATACAAAAAGAAGGCTCCCACAATAATGGCAGATATACTCCCTCGAACCTGGCATACCCTGTGAAAAGATTTCGTTTCATTAGACAATCGGGACCGAGCAAAAGATCTGAAACATCTTTGGCCTGAATACGTCTTACAAGGAAGGTACCCCAGGTCGATCTCTCCGATTTCATTTCTTTTATAATATGTTATAGTAGATTAAAAACTAAGCGACACGTATTTTTTTTTATCTGCTATTAAACACTTTAAGGGGGTGAAACCACCATCCAAAGTAAGGCATGTCAAGGGGCGATTTGGCAGTTTCACCCACAAGAAACTAATATTTTTTAACCAATCCACCTGGAAAAGCTTTCTCTTAACGAGAAATGAAAAGTACAATTTTCTCAATTAAAAAAAAAATTAAGGGGTGAGCCACCCCTCACAGGCCTTACTTTGGATGGTGGTTTCACCCCCTTAAAGTGTTTAATGGCAGATAAAGAAAAATACGTGTCGCTTAGTTCTTACTCTACTATAACATATAACAGAAATGAAATCGGAGAGATCGACCTGGGATACCTTCCTTGTTAGGGCTGAGAATCAGTGAAAAAATTGTGTCACATTGTATTGTAACGCATTCCTTGTCACTCTGTTTACACTTTCCGCCGCCAGAGGTCGAATTTCGAATCCGCTGGGCGTCGTTTTGCGAGGGCATCTACCCCGAGTGTACACTTTCTCTACACTTTCTACCCTCGATCCCGAGCGAGGGCAAGAAGGGTAGCCCGTGAATTTGGCGGCAAATCTCAAACTTGAAAAGACCAACAAACAGGAAAATACAAAATTTATGCTAACGTCTCAACGTAATTATAAACAGAAGTAATTATTAATGCATCTTCTTCGTGTATAGAACGATCTCTACACTTTCTACCCTCGGTCCCGAGCTGGTGCAAGAAGGGTAGCCCGCGAATATGGCGGCAAATTTGAAAATTGAAAATACCAACAAACAGGAAATCACAACATTTATGCTAACATCTCAACGTAATATAAACAGAAGTAATTATTAATGCATCTTCTTCGTGTATAGAACGATTTAGCGTTTTAGTTTTGTACGTAATGTTTGAAACAATTTACAATAATTATGTATTACTACCTAACCGCGGTTGGAATGAACTATAATTTTTCCCTGTCGTAGTTAAATTGTTTTTCATTCCTCTGCAATAATATTCTGACCCTTATTGATCCTCGATACCTGAAATTCGTGAAAGGAATTTTCATCTTCTACAATTACAAGCGAATCAAAAGGAAAATAAAATATTGTGCAGGCTAAAGACGCCATGAGACGTATTCATAATCCCATGTCTTTCCTACGAGGGAAAGATTTACATTATTGTTGCACATCGTATGCTTTTGTAGAAATACATATCTCTCACCTATATCCTCTCCCCGGAAGCTTTTCACGTATTTAACCCCGTATACGATTATCGGCCTCCTCAGGATGTGGGCGAGGGCAAAGACATGAAGCTGCTCCAAAGCACTGCCCGGTTGAGCAGCGGTAGCAAGTAAACTTTCCCAGTCATCTTGCCATTGAGTCTCTTCGAGGGTAAAGTCAAGCATTCTCGATGCCTGAGAGGTCTCGTACTCCCGCCAACGGGGATAAAAACTAGAAAAAAATTAAGTTTAATCGATCAGATCTTATTTATTGTGTGTGTGGGTGTGTGTTCGTCATTATCGTGCATTGGGTCTCTTCTTGCATACTTGAGATGTCTTGTACTCTCGCCAACGGGGATAAAAACTAGAAAAAAAAATTTGTTTAATCGATCAGATCCTAATTATTGTGTGTGTGGGTGTGTGTTCGCCATTATCGTGTATTGGGTCCCTTCTTGCATGCTTGAGAGGTCTCGTACTCTCGCCAAGGGGGATAAAAACTAGAAAAAAGTAAAGTTTAATCGATCAGATCTTATTTATTCTGTGTGTGTGGGTGTGTGTTCGCCATTATCGCGCATTGGGTCTCTTCTTGCATACTTGAGATGTCTTGTACTCTCGCCAACGGGGATAAAAACTAGAAAAAAGTAAAGTTTAATCGATCGGATCTTATTTATTCTGTGTGTGTGGGTGTGTGTTCGCCATTATCATGCATTGGGTCTCTTCTTGCAAATAACACGATATCTCTACGTGTACCTTTCAAAAACGCAGTCAATTAGGGCATCAAAAACCAGGAATTCAGATTTCAGGAGTTTTACATCCATTTCTTTATAATCATTGTATGAACATGACACATGGAATATGCCATTGCGTAAAATTATCAAGGTATTAGATGTACAACTTTGCTTCCGCCGTTTTCCGATAGATGGCCTTAGCGGTAAGCGGAGGAAGCAAAATTGTACACCTAATACGATACGGATGTCAATATAAATATAAAAGTCGGTAACGTAGGCAGTTACAGGAATTCCATTTTAACCTATAAGTACACTGGGAGACATCAATGCCCTCCCATCCTGCACAGGCGATGCCGTATCTGCAGGGGAGGCATTCATGCCCGCCAATGTACACTGGGAGACATCAATGCCCTCCCATCCTGCACAGGCGATGCCGTATCTGCAGGGGAGGCATTCATGTCCGCCATTGTACATTTCTCGAGGGGTATCACTTCGCTCTAATAATTATCACACTATAGTCACGATTTTCGCATTCACATCAACATTTTTAGCGCAAAAATAACTAACACCCTGACTTACAATTGGCCGGCTTGTTGCAAGGAATCCGCGAGGGCTCGCCTTAAGGCATTATCCCTGTCGAAGACTCCCCAGGTGGCTTGCATCGCAGAGTCCAGCAGGCAATCGCCAGCTGATCTGTTCCAGAGTGCATGCAATCGGCTGCCTAACCGTTCGGTTATCTCCAAGGACCAATTAAGTGCTGGTGGTTCTCCGCCACCTCCTTCAAGCTGCTGTTGTGCCTCTCTATCAAGAAGTTCCTCCAACATCTGTTCCTGTACGATGCTTGGCAAGTCTTCGACCTGTAGAAAAATCACAACCACTATGAGATGCAACGATCCAACTTGCAGAAATATATTACTTACTGTATTTTGCATTACATATTTCATGACTTATTACGTCATTGATTAAGGGTAACAATTACCTCAACAGGTAGTACAACGTAGCCATATCTGTGACGAAGTAACAAGGGAACGAACCCTTGCGTAAGCGAATACTTACTATGTACTTCATTAAATATTTGAGCCGTTTATTTTAAAAGTGACCTAAGTCCATTTACATTTAAATTGAGATATTTAAGAGTTTGCGTTTCAATAAAATTAAAAATATACGTATAGGATACCAGTGTGTCACCCTGCATAAGTGTATCTAAGAGAGTTAAATTTACAATTCCTATGAAAATGATAGCAATTATTAAGTGAATAATATGTTTCCTTCCCATAAATGGAGTTAAGCCACTTTCAAAATTAACAACTAGATTTGTTACGAAAATTGAAAGAGCCCAAGTCCATTCGACATAATTTAAAATGCTTCAAATTGATAAAACAATGCTCAATTTATTTTATATTTCTTTACAACACTTCAGAAACACAATTTATGCAATTTAGGAAATCTTGTGGCTATATAAATTATATAACAATTTCCTGCTCATCTACAATTTGGGTATGCGATAGGAATTTGAAGACGTCATGGTGCTCTGGTGGTATACATCGTAGTAAGTCCATTGTGTTCTTGCATTTCGCTGTTGCACTTTGTCTCATATTTTTATAAAGTGTTGTCAATACAATATTTTCGAATTTCCTTGGTCTACCCCGACGTGGTAATAAATCCAGGATTTTAAGCTCTGTATTCTCATCCATTGATATCTTATAGAAAATTTCATACGGTTCACTACTCAAAAAACGCATCCAGCATATTTTTAACCAATAGGTGTAATAATTTTTTTAATTTAATATTTTAAGCTCAAATTCACTTTTGCATATTGCGTAACTTTTATTCTTCACTGCATTAATTAAACGTACTGATTATTCAACTGAATCAACTGTCCAAAAAGTGAGGTTAACTTATTAAATACTAATTAATTCAAATTACCTTTGTCCCTGGCTACAGACTTTCGAAAATCCGCACTTTCGGACATTATCAACAATGGATTGGACTTAGACCACTTTCAAAGTAATGTTTTTCATTATTGAAATAACTGCGAAAATATGTGTCCAAAATGATCGTAAACTCTCAATATACTTAACCTCAAAGTGTTGTTTATGACAGCTAACTTCAAGTTGTACGCTTTAAAAAATAATTGACAAATGGACTTAGGCCACTTTCAAAATAAACGGCTCAGTTAGTAATTTATTATGTAATTGATTAAGTGTAACGATTACCTCAGCAGGCAGTGCAAACGTAGCCATATCTGTGACGAAGTAACAAGGGAAGGAACCCTTGCGTAAGCGAATACTATTGGTGACATGTCGGCGTATCTGTGCAGCTAAATCAGGAGCTACGTAGCTAGGTACTCGTTTCACCCCAGATCCAGAACCTTCAATTTGTGATAATAATGTAGCTAAAATGTCTTCACGTTGAAATCTGCAAATAACCAATATATTACAGTCTTAAAGGGATTATTAGTTCCTAGCTGCATTAAGGTGATATGAAAGTGGCGTCGAAGAGGTTTTGTTTATAAAACTTTTCTCCCAACTCGGCTTACCGAATAGTTTGAAACTTTACAACGTGAATAGGAAGACCATAAGGAAGGTCCTGAAACTCATGAAATTTCAATTCCTTTCAAATTTGTTTATAGATATTTTAAAAATAGTTTGTAAAAAATGAAATTTTGCTAGTTTCTGGACCTACCTTAGGGTCTCCATATTCACGTTTTGAAGTATGAAACGATTTGCGACACCCAGTTCGTTTATACTAACCTTATAGTATATAATATAGAAGTACTAACCTTATAGCCAAATGAACTAGAGTGTGTCCTACATCGAAAGCACTGCTCCGGCTTAGGAGCAAAACTTCGGAATGCGTCAGCTGACGAGCTGGATCACCGCCACTCGCTAGATAAGCTTCGACTGGTGCATTGTCACCTTCAACGATACCTAGGCAAGCATTCAACCAGCACCAATCCGTGTGACGTCGTAGCTGCTTTAATCTGCGCTCGTAGTCGCAATTGTTGGGGGACTGCGGGGCAGAGAGGCTGTCATTTCTGCTGTCAAATCTGTGGGAGCTCCTGCACGAAAAAGACGAAAATTATTTAACTGTTGCACCCTGAGTAACGCACATCTTTCTGATATTTATATTAAGGTGATGTGAAAGAGTCAGCCTATACATATATCTGAGAAGTCAAATCGTTGGTGAAAGTATTCACGTAATTGGATGTACCGATTAGTTTGAAATTTTACCACGGGAATGTGGAGGCCCTAAAGTAGGTCCTGAAACTCGGAAAATGTCACTGTTCATCAAAAATTTATTTATTTATCATGGACTAGAACCAACATGGCGTGGTCCGCGCACGTTTCCTGTTTTACGTTTCTTGGAGGTTTAGAATCGAAAATGAAGAATTTCAGAACCTAGGTCGAACAATTTAGAATACCGTAGGAATGGAATGTTACAGAGTCAAATGGGAAAATATGGAAAACACTTTCACTAACAATTGCAAAAGAATGCTGGCTTGTCTCAAGGCTAACGCGCGTTTTTAAAAGCAACAATTTAGTTGCAGTTAAACGCCACAGATGGCGAGGTTGGTCCTAAACAGTCGTTAGAATAATGAATTAACGGGATTTCGACAGTTTTACGTCGACCTCTTCATCATTACTTTACCGAAATGACACATGGAACGCTTTAGTTCATATAATTCCCAACGTATACTGTAAAAGACCAATATAAATATAAATGTGGGTGACGTGACGCGCCAGTTCATGTTGCCACTTCAGTATTCAAAAAGACGTTACCACCAAAAAGGCTATAGATGAATTATAATTTATCGACCTCGATTAAATTTCTCAGTGCTTTTCATATCATCTTAACGTGATATGAAAAGGTCAGCCTATTTACATCTGAGAGGTCCAATGGTTGGTGAAAGAATTTTCTGAACTGGGTATACCGATTCGTTTAAAACTGGTCATTTTCGTAATTTATTTCTTTTTAACATCTCTGGTTTTTGTTAAAAAAAAAAATAATAATTATGACACAACCGTCTACATCACGGAAACATTCCAATAAGCCTGTTAATTTTGTTTGCACCTCAAACTGGATACCAGGTTAACACACCCGACGCATATATTCCGGCAGACATTTTGTAAATATACCTTCTCGCAATGGCCAGATTTTCGTCTCGTTGTGGTTGATGAATATAGGGGGTGTGTGGCGGAGACGGCAACCCCCGTTGACAGTGATCCCTCTCCGGGCTGGGTAAAATGAGGCTCAGGTTAGTCGTAGACTTATCCCTCCTGTCTCTCTCCTTCTGATGGCCACACATGACACACTTGGTAGCTTTCGGCCAGTTCTCGTAAGTACAGGTAGCACAGGACCACTTCTCAGTTTGTGCGTTGGGCTGGGCATTGAAGTACCTCTCCGGGTGTAGATTAATAGCCGGAGGGTTAAGCTGAGAGTTGGACCCCAGGTTGGGCGGTGGGTCGCCCAGTCGAAGAGGCGCCAGCTGTTCGTGGAGATTGGAGGCCAAAGAGCGTATCGACACGGGATGGTTGGCCCTTCTGTTGCCGCACTGGACACACCGCGTGGTGTTGGGGTAATTCAGATAGGTGCACATCTCGCAGGACCACTTGCCCCCAGAAGGTACATTCTGACTATAGTTCTGCGGGCTCGAGTTGCAGGAGTCCGTGGACCTACTAATATGAGGCACCGGACCTGACGCAGAGTTGGATCCTGACCTCTGAGGACTCGGATCTCGCAGACGATATATATCCTCTCCGAGAAGGGGTTTCGCACCCCGGCACATGGTGCACTTAAGGGACGAGGGCCAGTTCTCGTAGGTGCAGTACTCGCAGATCCACTTCCCCTCGGATTCTTCCCTTTGTCCGCTCATTTTCGCGAACTGGTTTACCACCAAAAGATGGTATCTTTCTCGACTCCCAACTGGAGTGCGGCGAGGGTACGAACTAAACGGAGTCGAGTCGATCGACTCGGCAGCTTATCTGGATGCGACCTCGTCTTTCCGACTTTTCTCACAATTTCAAGTGTTCCTTCTTATCAGTCACCTTCGATCTTGCATTCATTATGTGATGTACCATTTGGCTAGCACTCTGATGACGAGCGAGAGGATTCCAACTGCTTCTAAGTAATGTACATAAGCTGCTGGGGATATCTGGAAAAAGAAAAAGGACAATTGGGTACATTAGAAGAGAAAATCCGACTCCTGGGTTTACATATGTCCTCTGGTAATGTTTTAAAAAACATACAGCTCTTGCGTATCTCCTTTTCTTCCCACTATGAACAATCAGGGACGGGTAATTCCCCATTTTTTTCGAGGTATTTCATGTATATCACGTAAAGTAATTTACAGTAGAAAATCGTAGAAAACCAATACATTACGTTTCCAATATGAAGAATTCCGCAGATGGACAATATACGGTCTCTGCTAGATTATAAACATCTTTTAGCATACACGTAAACACGGAAATATTTTAAGGAACAACGAATTAATTTGGTTTTCAATATGGCGGATTCCACAGATGCATGATATATGTTTAACATAAAAAGAAAAAAAAAACATGAACATGTATTTCAGAGTTAATAATAATAAACAACATAATCATAAAGTTCTGTTTCATGAAAACGAACAAATGTTTAGATTTGCAACAGTCTAAACGAGGAAAAAAATCGTTATCAAAGCATGCTTTCAGTGCCTCCAAAGTAAGAATGAGCAGTAAAGCAGATTAATGAGGAAGAAAACGCTGTTAGAGAATCCCTATAACTATGAAATCAATATATTGTTTCAAGGGGTCATTTGAATAATAAAAAACACACTTAACAAAGAGATCCTTCTTAGTGCTTAAAAACGGATATGGCGAATGAAGCAAATTAATAAAGAAGAAAACGCTGTTAGAGAATCCCTATGACTCTGAAATCAATACATTGTTTCAAAGAGTTATCTGAATAATAAAAAAACACACTTAACAAAGAGATCCTTCTTAGTGCTTAAAAACAAATATAGGGAATAAAGCAAATTAATAAGGAAGCAAACGCTGTTAGAGAATCCCTATGACTCTGAAATCAATATATTGTTTCAAGGGGTCATCTGAATAATAGAAACCATGTTTAACGCTTTACCTACCGGAAGCCTATTAGGTTTTGCGAGACCCGGAATCGGCATTTACTTCCAAATTCCCCGGTCGGTAAAGTGTTAACAAAGATATCCTTCTTACTGCATAAAAACGAATATAGCGCAGCAATATAATGGAAGAAACAGTGTATCGAAAACGAACTCGTACAACAAAGTGTATGCCACTGATAAATTCATGTGCTATTTAATGTAAAGCGAGACCCCCCTTAAATCAGTCGATTCAAATAATCATGATCACCTAAGAATTGCTCTGACACGTTGAAAATTTGGATTTTTTAAACGAATTTTTTAACAGCCCAGACAAGAACCAAAATGGCGTCGAGCTCTCATATTTCGATCAATACACAATTATCGAAGGCTCTGATATGAGAATCGAAAGGGTCAGGACAATTTTACGACAATTTAGAACACTCTGGTAATCGATAAACTCGCATTTGAACGGAATAAAGGCAAAAAGAAGTGTCTTATCCGCTTCTGTGCTAAAACGAAGGTAATACGTGGTCTTGGAGAAAAAATTTAATTGACGTTAAAATCACAGATGGCGCAGGGTGGCATTCTGCAGTCAACTGGGGCATCAAAAACCATGAATCCAGGGGATTTTTTTAGTTTTAGTTCGATTTCATTATAATTATTGTATGTAAACGACACATGAAGTATGACATTAGGTACAATACCCAATTATTGTACTATTGAAACACTTCATGGGGCATGATTATGACAATTGAAACGGGACAGCAAGAGGATATATTGTTAAAGAATCCTTGCAAGTGAAACGGTGACAATCATTGAGACAACATAATGATAGCCATACTCCGCCATAACATTTTTTCCACAGCCTTGAGTTAACATCCATTAAATTATATTAACAAAATGGAGCAACTTAAGTAATCCTTGTTAGTCAGAAATAAGTATATGCATCAAGGTAACGAGAAGGGTATATTATCCAAGGAAACAACAAGAATAACAAAGCTAAATAATGAAATTATTTATAAAGCTAAAGGACCCCTCTCGTAGATTAAAATAAATACATATACTTCGCCAACATGACAAACTGAACAATCTCGGAGCACACCCTTTCCAAATTTTCAAAACAAACACAACGATACGAGGCAGAGATTCACCAAAAATATATAATTGGAAAATTATCTATATAAACACTTTCTGGCATCGTAACAAAACATACTTAACCGAGGCACCTCGTTGCGTCACAACAAAGAAACACATCACAGCAAAGCAATCAAGAGTCCACTATTACAAAAGAGTCCTTCTATGCTATCAAAAGAACAACACATCCACTTGGTGCTTCCGAAACAGCACAAATACCAAAGGAGAAAGAAATACTGAGAATAAATCAGTCGAGAGTCTACGATATTTCAAAAGAACACATATTCTAATGAAATATTTACGGTGTTTTCAGCTGGGCTACCCTAATTCACATCGATGTTGTAAAAGTATAATGCGAATGCTTAGCAACATAGTTTCGGTGTTGATAGCGTACATACTTTCCATGTATTTTGTTACCCTGTAACGGTACTAGTCGAACATGCAACAATGAAGAATAATATTTGCCAAAAGTTAAAAAAATGAATGCTTTAAAACCTTGCATCAATAGCTTGATCATTTTCATTAACCTCTAATTAATCTTATGGAATCTATTTGACTTCAATCAGCCAGGAGTCTCTGATAGTTTAAAAAGAACACATTCCATTGCATCATGGCATCTCGACATCCACATTCTACACCAATGTACCGAAAACATACCCAGCCAAAGCATCTCGTTGCGTCAAATCACACACAGAAACAATGCACCAAGTAGTGTTTACCGTCACGCGAGTTCCTCCAGAGTGTATGGGAAAAGTTATTCCAACCCAAATTCGTTATATAAAAAATTCCAACCCTGACAGCTCTTCCCAGAACTGGATACACGTTTCCGGACCAAGAACAACGGACCTCCTCCACAAAGCAGAAATACTACAGAAAAGAAATGAAAAAAAACAAGCCACCCAAGAGTCTCCGATAGCGTTAAAAAGACCACATTCCATCTCATCATGGCATCTCGACATCCACATCCACGTCATCCTACCGAAAGCATACCCAGCCAGAGCGTCTCGTTACGTCGAAGCAAACCCACAGAATTAGTGCATCGAGAAGAATCCACTGTCACACGAGTTCCTCCAGGGTTTCCAAGTTGCATAAAAAGTGCCGACCTTGATGGTTCCTCCCGGAAGGCAGGGACGTCGGGGACCGAGTGGGTAGGTGTCACCGGGCCAAGAACGGAGGTGGGCCTGGCACGTCTTCGGGGCTACCTGGCAAGACTCGAGCCCGGTGTCCCGGGGCTCGTGTCACGCTCGGGCGCGCTCCATCGGTCCCTCTCGAGCCGTCTAGCGGAGGCAGCGGGTCGGGGAGGCACGGACTCGACGGCGGTCTCCTGCAAACGCATCGACTTTAGGTTAAGTTCTTACGGGTCGAGCATCGACAGTGGGCCCGCGCGAAACCTGAGCGCTTCTGGTCGCTGCGTCGTGAACAGCGTTCCAACGGTACCGTGTCCACCAGTGGAGAGTGTACGATGCCCGGGGTGCGCGCTCGCTCCTCGTTCCCGAGAGACGCAACCTCGTCCTGGTCGTCCTCCGCGCCTCTCACTGCTCCTAGGCGCGAGCCGTCATGGTGTTTCCTCGGGCTGGCATCCAAACCATCCAAAAGCTCCGCTCCGGACTCCGCTGGGAAAGTAGGTTTTGACAGTCATCCACAACAGACGACAGTGCTGCCAACCCGCCCCGCGGACTCGTGCTGGACTCCGGAGGGTCGCGTCTCCCTCGAGGCCGCTGCCCACCGCGGTCCTCGCTCTCCGGATCCTCCCCGGACCCCACGCGATGCGTGCAGAGGCACGCGCGTGCCCGCGTCACTCGCCCACGAGCCGATTTCCTATCTTCGACCGGATCAGAACGCGCCACTACTCGGAGCACCTGCCAGCGGTTGGCAGCACTGTGCGACGCGCGCAACCTGCTTCTCTCTTCGTTTGGCCAGACTCCTTATCGCGTCTCCTGTCACACTGGACGCGGCACGTCTCCGGAACCAATCGGAATCGCGGCGGAAATGACGCAAGTGGTTATACGACGCTCTGATTGGTTCCAAGCCCTCGACGCGGTGACGCGACGCGCTCGGTGCGACTCCGACTTCGGGTGGCTGGGATCTAGCTTTGACTTCCTGCCGCATACGGTTCCCCCACTTTACCTCCCTGGAGACCGCTCGGTCTCTCTCGGAAATCGGGCAGCCGTGAGAGCGAGAGAGAGGTCCGACTCGGTGAGGTATAGAGAGGTCTCCCGGGGTGGGCTTCTTCTCCACTACAGAGACGCCTCAAGTAGGCGGCCTTATTTACATAATAACCGTATTGCCACTTCCCGTTTTTAAGAGATTGACCGCGCGTCGTTTTTAATAACTTACTCGAGAAATTGATTCGCAATTTTTGGAAGCTCGACAGGTGGGAAATGTTTTCTTTTTCTGTAATGAATGCGTTATGGTGGTGATGCTGTATTCTTGATTTTAGGATTTGATGATGGGGGATGGCGGAGGTAAAAAGAAGGTCCTGGCTTAGCCCGCGCAATATGCGCGCGACTGGCGCGGGAAAGTCTTTTCTTAATTTATAAATACATTGGCCCTTGGCCAAATGGGCCTCAGCCTAGACATCTATCCTTGACATTTGATCACGACGAATGGGAATGTACTGAACAATTATTTTATGCATTTACAAGGCACTGAGAACGATTTCTTCTTCTGTGGTCTGGGAAATGGCGGAATTGGTATGTGGAGAAGGTTCTCTAGTAGCAGAAAATATTTCACTTATATTTTCTATATATTTAACGAATATCGTACATTTTGGAAATATCTAACAGACATTTGAAATATTTGCAAAACGTTTACTTGAAAGTATTATCTTTTTAATACTTGTATAATATTGACTCCACGTGTTTTCATGATATTTCTCTAACGGATATACGAAACANTCCGATACGGATAACCTCAAAATCGCGTACCTCTCTACTAAATCGTTCATCTTGGACTTTCGTGAGGTTTCTGGCGTTCGGGACGTCGATGAAAGTGTATTTACCCTTCTGCACTTTTCAAGAAAAGTGTAGTACCCTAGTTACCCTCGTGTGTAGAAAGTGCAGTCAACGCGAACGAACGTATAGTTCCCGAATGACGTCATGGTGACGTCATGTGACGTAATTCGGGAAGTATAGCAGACAGCGCGTAATTCAGAACACTATGCGGCTGATACAGTATGAATAGATAAATGATTTTCAATGCGATGGAACTGAGATTAGACGTTTTATGAAATGACTGAAATGAATTAGACGAAATGTAAAACAAGAGGTAGTTTAATCAGTCTGACAATGCGGTGTCCTGTTGGCCGGTTTATAAAACGCCTAATCGTTTTATAAAATGATTAGCCGTCTTACAAAGAGCTGAATTTTACAATTTCACTACGGTACATAATTTTCAGGAAGAGAGAAAAAATGGAGCCAAACATTATTTTGAATTACGCGTCGTCTGCTAACTTCCCGAATGACGTCATGGTGACGTCAGGAGTGATCAGCTGATCGCGGCCGCTATGGACGCCGACGGATATGTAAGATTCATCGTTCTTTAGCTTTACATATAATGATTAGAGAGAGAAATTATTGAGCCGAATATCACTATGAATTACGCGTAGTCTCCTAAACTTCCTGAGTGACATTACGAGCTTAGATAAGAGATAATTACGAGTGATCAGCTGATCGTGGCTGCTAGTAGACGGCAATAGGTATGTGAGGTTCCTCCGTCTTTATCAGTGTTTTAATACCATAATACAAACTTTACATATAATTTTCAGGAGAGAAATAATCATGGAGGCGAACATTACTTTGCTGTATGGGAGCGAAACAGGAACTGCCCAGGACACTGCCGAATTAATTTGGAGGGATGCCAAGAGGTTACGTTGTCCTTTGTTTTGTCACAATACTAGGCTCCTAAATAAAGCACCGACTCGTGGTCAGTCTTCCGCCTCGTGATAGTCGATGTCACGATAGTAATCGCATAGGTAGGGACTTACATGCTGGCTCTGGGAATTTTTACGGAATGTACGTTAGCAGGGCTTGCGAATAGTCAACCCTTCGTGCGATGTTAATCGGTCTTGACGTTGAATGATCTGAAATGTTCGGTAGCAAAATTTCCTTAATATAAGGAATTTACTTTCTCCCAATGATGATCCTTATTTAAAAAGACGTACTTTAGTATTAACTTAATGTGGCATGCTTCTTTGTATTTATGTTCCAACTTTGTGCGTAACATCTGTTCCATTTTGTTTTTCGAAGCGTTTCTTTTACGAGAAAAGAAATATGCACAGTTTCAATTGTTTTCGTTCAGTTTGTCATTTAGTTTTATATTTCTTAAGTCAACGGCAAGTAAAATTCAATTTTAAATAAAACATGAATACGAGGACGTAATTAGTATTAACCTTTTTGAAAACTACATAATATTTAAATGACTGCTTAGGAAGGAAACCTGTAAATGCGTGCGAATGATGTTTTAAGCAGTGGCGAATGAGTTGCCATTAATGATCACTGCTTTCGGACCAGAATGGACAATATATAATTCAATAAAATAATTATTCGCTATAAGAAAATCGTCTTTCATTTTCATAAAAAAAACGAAATTACTTTCCGAACAACCCAATATGTACATAAATTAAAAAGTATAATTTCTATACATGTTTATAAATCATTGGAACTAAATACATCATTGAGATTTTCAACAAATATTTCAGATATCTTCTAATGAAATCTGCGAGATATCTTGAAAGATCTATCGCTTGAGATATTTAGCAAAGATTAGAGAGAAATATTCAGAAATTAGTCTATGCTACTAGAGTTGAGACTGGATTCGAAAACTGTCAGAAGTGGGAAAATATATTTTTGCGGAGAAAGATACGACGATTCCTCGTACATATGTATGTACATTAATTCCTATATTTCGTTGTCCCCAAGGTTAAATTCACCGCACAGGGTGCATGCCCAGTGAACACTGTCATATAACTGTTGGGTAAATGTTACGATTTAAACTAACATGTTATGTAGCATAAAAGTAACATGGAAGTTAAATGTTAGTTATAATTTCCCTCTCAGTAAGATAACATGTTATATCAATTTTATAATTTCAGTTACCTTAAAATAATGTTAATTTTTCAAACATTTAATAAAAAAATCACGTAAATTTATCCGAAATTATATAATTTTTTTATTTTTTATTATTTTTCGGTACTTGACAATAGTTAGATATTAAATGACAGATCAGACTTTCAACGAAATTATGTAATGATAAACTATCTGAGCGAGGGCAAGAAGGGTAGCCCGCGAATTTGGCCGCAAATTTGAAAATTGAAAAGACCAACAAACAGGAAAATACAAAATTTATGCTAACACCTTAACGTAATATAAATAGAAGTAATTATTAATGCATCCTCTTCATGTATGGAACGATTTAGCGTTTTAGTTTTGTACGTAATGTTTGAAAAAATTTACAATAATTGTGCATTACTACCTAACCGCGGTTGGAATGAACTAAACTATAATTTTTCCCTGTTGTAGTTAAATTGTTTTTTATTCTACTGCAATAATATTCTGACCCTTATTGATCCTCAATACCTGAAATTCGTGAAAGGAATTTTCATCTTCTACAATTACAAGGTAATAGAACGAATTGTAGGATTTGAAGAAAACGAAGACAGCTCAAGAAGGAAGGCTGGAAGAAGCATTACATTTTCGTATTCATCATCATCCGATACGGATAACCTCAAAATCGCGTACCTCTCTACTAAATCGTTCATCTTGGACTTTCGTGAGGTTTCTGGCGTTCGGGACGTCGATGAAAGTGTATTTACCCTTCTGCACTTTTCAAGAAAAGTGTAGTACCCTAGTTACCCTCGTGTGTAGAAAGTGCAGTCAACGCGAACGAACGTATAGTTCCCGAATGACGTCATGGTGACGTCATGTGACGTAATTCGGGAAGTATAGCAGACAGCGCGTAATTCAGAACACTATGCGGCTGATACAGTATGAATAGATAAATGATTTTCAATGCGATGGAACTGAGATTAGACGTTTTATGAAATGACTGAAATGAATTAGACGAAATGTAAAACAAGAGGTAGTTTAATCAGTCTGACAATGCGGTGTCCTGTTGGCCGGTTTATAAAACGCCTAATCGTTTTATAAAATGATTAGCCGTCTTACAAAGAGCTGAATTTTACAATTTCACTACGGTACATAATTTTCAGGAAGAGAGAAAAAATGGAGCCAAACATTATTTTGAATTACGCGTCGTCTGCTAACTTCCCGAATGACGTCATGGTGACGTCAGGAGTGATCAGCTGATCGCGGCCGCTATGGACGCCGACGGATATGTAAGATTCATCGTTCTTTAGCTTTACATATAATGATTAGAGAGAGAAATTATTGAGCCGAATATCACTATGAATTACGCGTAGTCTCCTAAACTTCCTGAGTGACATTACGAGCTTAGATAAGAGATAATTACGAGTGATCAGCTGATCGTGGCTGCTAGTAGACGGCAATAGGTATGTGAGGTTCCTCCGTCTTTATCAGTGTTTTAATACCATAATACAAACTTTACATATAATTTTCAGGAGAGAAATAATCATGGAGGCGAACATTACTTTGCTGTATGGGAGCGAAACAGGAACTGCCCAGGACACTGCCGAATTAATTTGGAGGGATGCCAAGAGGTTACGTTGTCCTTTGTTTTGTCACAATACTAGGCTCCTAAATAAAGCACCGACTCGTGGTCAGTCTTCCGCCTCGTGATAGTCGATGTCACGATAGTAATCGCATAGGTAGGGACTTACATGCTGGCTCTGGGAATTTTTACGGAATGTACGTTAGCAGGGCTTGCGAATAGTCAACCCTTCGTGCGATGTTAATCGGTCTTGACGTTGAATGATCTGAAATGTTCGGTAGCAAAATTTCCTTAATATAAGGAATTTACTTTCTCCCAATGATGATCCTTATTTAAAAAGACGTACTTTAGTATTAACTTAATGTGGCATGCTTCTTTGTATTTATGTTCCAACTTTGTGCGTAACATCTGTTCCATTTTGTTTTTCGAAGCGTTTCTTTTACGAGAAAAGAAATATGCACAGTTTCAATTGTTTTCGTTCAGTTTGTCATTTAGTTTTATATTTCTTAAGTCAACGGCAAGTAAAATTCAATTTTAAATAAAACATGAATACGAGGACGTAATTAGTATTAACCTTTTTGAAAACTACATAATATTTAAATGACTGCTTAGGAAGGAAACCTGTAAATGCGTGCGAATGATGTTTTAAGCAGTGGCGAATGAGTTGCCATTAATGATCACTGATTTCTTGTGGTATCTATCAAACAATGTCTTGACGTTGGATGATCTGAAATGTTTGGTAGCAAAATTTCCTTAATACGAGGAATTTACATTCTCCCAATGATGATCCTTTACTTAAAAAGACGTGCTTTAGTATTAACTTGATGTGACACGCTGATTTGTATTTACGTTTCAACTTTGTGCGTAACATCTATTCCGTTTTGGTTTTCGAAGCGTTTCCGTTTCTTTTATGAGAAAAGAAATATGCACAGTTTCAACTGTTTTTGTTTAGTTTGTCATTTAGTTTTATATTTCTTAAGTCAACGGCAAGTAAAATTAAATTTTAAATAGAACATGAATACGAGGATGTAATTAGTATTAACCTTTTTGAAAATTGCATAATATTTAAATGACTGCTTAGGAAGAAAACCTGTAAATGCGTGAGAATGATGTTTTAAGCAGTGGCGAATGAGTTGCCATTAATGATCACTGCTTTCTCGTGGTATTTATCAAACAAGGTTAAATGACTCTCACATATGGATATTAAATTAAATAGAGATTATTTCTAACAATAACACAGATGATTAATCTCATATTAAGTAAATATTGTTGATTGAAATTCTTCGTTAGTAAGAAGTTTCACACAAGGTTGAATTGTGGTATTGTTTACTACCGACATGCAACTTGGAAAGTTGTCTGCCATGAACCATACTACATTTTTCCTTTTTTGAACGTTACATACGTATAATGTCTACCTCTATTATAAATCAGAGCATTATACCCACGTGATGTATGGTAGTGAATATATTAAAATATAATAATATATAAATTGGCAGAGATTATATAGATTTTAATGATATTATTAAGCAATAAATGAACTGATAACACAATTAATCAAAGCCGTTCATAACGTCTATCATTTCTTGACAATTTTTTATATTAGTTTTATCATGAATCAAAATGCTTCTTAATTAATGACGTTGGAATCGATTAAAGCTCACATTATATAATTGTCAATAATTTGTAATATTTGTAGAAATTTGTGATCGCTATACATTATTAATCATATCACTAATGAGTAGTATATCTTCTATAATAATATTGTAGTAAAATTTAATTCTACTTAATTACATGTAATTCCATCCCAAGCCACGATATAGTCTTGTAATTAGTGAAGAATTATATTATATCTAAGTCATATCCATAAATTTGAACGATGGTATCATAGATTTAAATATATTTTTTATTTCAGATATGGGTTAAAATCAAGTGTTTCCGCCATGGATGAATATAACATCAAGAACTTGATTTCCGAAGAACTGGTCGTCTTCGTAGTTTCCACTACAGGCCAAGGAGAAGTTCCTGCAAATATGAAACAATTTTGGCGATGCTTGTTACGGAAAAGCCTTCCTGTGAATACTTTAAATCATTTAAAATACGCAGTATTAGGGTTGGGTGACAGCTCTTACCAAAAATTTAATTTCGCTGCCAAGAAGTTGAATAAACGATTAGGACAATTAGGAGGACAAGAATTGTTGCCTATTGGACTAGCGGATGATCAGCATGACCTTGGAATAGATGCAGTTACCACCACTTGGACGCAAGAGTTGTGGACGAAAATAAGCAACTTATATGGTATCGAGTTGATAAATGTTCAAGCTGATGGTAACGAAATAGTTGAGCGATTCAATGTCGATGTCATAACAACGAACGATACAAGGATATTTAATAATGGACGTGACTTACACAGCGACATTTATGAAAGTGAATTGCATGTAAATGATGAGTTAAGAATGGGCACAGTAATAGAGAATTTTAGGACGACATCGGTGGATCATTTTCAAGATGTTAGATTAATTAAGATTTCTGCGGAAAATATTCAGTACGAGCCAGGTGATGTTTTATATATCAGACCTAAGAATTCGGCAGTGCAGGTACAGCGGTTTTTTATGATTTTAAATAGTAATAATGTTAACGTTCATCCTAACATGGTGATCCGTGTTACCGAAAAAGAAATAAATGTGCCACAAGTTTTGAAACGGGATTTGACCTTGAAAGAAATCGTTGAGCAGTATTGGGATCTCAGTTTCAAGCCTCGGAGGTCGACAATGATGACATTAGCTAGAACCAGTGACGATGACTTGGAGAAAGAGAAACTATTTGAATTCACCACCACAGAGGGACAAGAAGAACTTTTTGGCTACGTCAACAGACCAAGAAGGAATATTTTAGAAGTCCTAAATGATTTCCCACACACTACGAGCAAACTTAACGTCAGATTGCTTTTTGAAATCATGTCACCTATCAAGCCTAGGGCATTTAGTATTGCATCTAGCATGAAAGCCACGCAAAGTGAAGTGCATGTACTGGTAGCTGTTGTGAAATATAAGACTAAATTATTAGAACCTAGGTTAGGTCTGTGCTCCAATTGGTTAGCATCGTTGACACCTGGAGAACGTGTTATTTTTTGGATTCAGAAGGGGACTTTTAAATTTGACTACTCAAAGCCAATGATTTTAATCGGTCCTGGAACAGGCGTTGCACCATTTCGATCATTACTTCTAGACAAAGCTGTAACTAACAAGAATCTTAACGACTGTATACTCTTCTTTGGGTGCAGAAATGAAAAAAGGGATTACCATTGCAAAGAAGACTTTGAATTCTTAATGCAGAACCGTAACTTACGACTTTTTTGCGCATTTTCTCGAGACCAGGCTGATAAAATGTACGTCGTTCCATTATATTCTCTTGCGAGTACAGCTAAATATATTTATAAATATCATTTCCTAACTGTTTACTCTTTACTTTCAGATATGTACAACATGTAATTGAAAGAAACGATCAGCTGTGCTGGGAATTTATGAAAAACAATGCCAATATTTACGTAGCAGGTAACTCAAAAAACATGCCAGACAGTGTACGGGAAGAGTTTGTAAACATTATTGGTAAATTTTCGAATTTATCGAAGGAATATGCAGAGAGTTACGTACAACAAATGGAAAAGGAGGGACGGTATCAAATTGAAACTTGGAGTTAACCGAGTTAATGTTTAGAGAGAAATTATGCGAATAGAATTACACAATTTCTTTGATACTAATGATTTTGTAAGAGAATAGGTTCAATTAATTAAATAAACCAAGGGATTTATTGGGATTCGTCTGAATGCAGAGTATAAATGCTTTATTATTATCTCATGGGAATTACAAGGAAGATAATGTTGGGCACATCGAATCGATGCAAATTTCATTTACGTCCTTGCTTTAACGCCTATGTGGAGAAACAGGTTTCTAAGGATGTACTTGATTCAAGTAATTTGCAATGCGATAATCGCTTGACTGAATCTTATTAAACAGCCAACACGAGTATTACCATTTTTGCGGGTCGGAGTTGCTGTTCATCAACGCTCAAAGCAGCAGCTTTCTAAGTGATATAATGGCATTTCAAATATAGTGGTGCAACAATACAGAGGAATTTCTGCAATTATATTAAAAGGTACAACATTGTTAATAAATTGTATTGTACTACATATATTTCATAAACTGTTATAAGCGCTTAAGCAGTTTTCTAAGTGATATAATGGCATTTTAAATATAGTGGTGGAACGATACAGAGGAATTTCTGCAATTATATTAAAAGGTACAATAACATTATTAATACATTCTATTGTACTACATATATTTCATAAGCTGTTATAAGCGCTTAAAGAAACTGCTTTCTAAGTGATATAATGGCATTTCAAATATAGTGGTGGAACGATACAGAGGAATTTCTGCAATTATATTAAAAGGTACAACATTATTAATACATTTTATTGTACCACATATATTTCATAAACTGTTATAAGCGCTTAAAAAAGCAGCTTCCTAAGTGATATGATGGCATTTCAAATATAGTGGTGGAACAATACAGAATTTCTGCTATTATATTAAAAGGTACAACTTAACAGTTATGTAACATGGGGCTAACAGGTTACATAACATTTGTTACTATCATATCTATATAAATGTAGCATAACTTTGTTACTCTCATGTTACATTATGTTACAGTCCTGATATTACTGTGTATATGCAGCACATATTTGTAACAAAACAGAATTACATTGGTGCTAACTGTCTTTTATTTTATTACATCATCGTCATCGTAATTGCCATAATTCATCGTCAAATGTCATAAGATTAATATATGTAATATTTTGTTTACTACTCGTATGAAAAAATGTGAATTTAATTCATACGCGCATATACATTATCAGTTATTGTTTGCTAGTCGAATGAAATCCTATTTGTCTTTAAGTATAATCAGATAGTTTATCATTACATAATTTCATTGAAAGTCTGATTTGTACTTTAATATCTAACTGTTGTCAAGTACCAACAAATAATGAATAATACAAAATTATATAATTTTGGATAAAATTGCGTCATCTTTTTTATTAAATGTATGAAAAATTAATATTATTTTAAGGTAACTGAAATTATAACATTAATATAACATGTTACATGACATGTTACCTTACCGAGTGGGACATAATAACTAACATCTAACTTCCATGTTACTTTTATGCTACATAACATGTTAGTTTCGAAAACGTGACATTTACTCAACAGTTATATAACAGTGTTCACTGGGTTAGAGCCTTCAATAATTCGATATCATTCGAAATATGAGAGCTCGACGCCATATTGGTTTTGGTCTGAGCTAAGTTAAAAAATTTTGTTAATAAAATCCAAATTTTGAAAGTGTCAGGATAATTCCTAGGTACTCATGAGTCATGTGTCAAAGTTTCGGACAGTTTGGTCGAATACCCTTAAAAAAAGTGTTGCATTCGAATCGACTGATTTGAGGGGGTTTCACTTCACCTTAAGGGACTAATTTGCAAATTTCAAGTAGTTGTAAAGTGGCACTTCGATTAAATCTAAATGTTCATCGCTTATCTGTCGGTTTAGTGAAAAGACACCACAAGGGAAACTAATGTACAGTCCATTTCTAGAGAGGAAGATAACGAGTTCTTCGACATCCTCCTTTTTTCTCACAGTGGACATTACACTTCCCAAACTCGAATCAGAGTTATTAATCTCTTCTAGCAATATTAGTACTCATGGCGGAGTACTTCCCCAATTCCCCGTCAATGGCCGTCTGATATTGACTAATCTCACTATCAGTTTGTTTATTTTCAGATAGAATATTTTTCTATTTCGGGCCTATTTATTCCCCTAGAAATGATTATCAAGCTGACTCATCGTCGACAAATATACTCTTCGAATGGAAATATTAAGTGAAACTCGTCGAGGAACTAGATCGACGTCGATAAAGATTTTTCTAAATGCCTACGTTGCCGACGTTCGTTTTTATATTGACAGCTGGGTCGAATTATATTGGGTATTGTACGAAATGGCATGCTCCACCTGTCGTTTTACAATAATTATAAAGAAATCGAAGTAAAACTCCAGAAATCCTCTGGATTCATGCTTTCTGGGGCCCTAATTGACTGCAGAAGGACCCCCTGCGCCATCTGTGATTTTCAGGTTAATTAAATGTTCACTCCGAGACCTTGTATTCCCATCGTTTTAGCATAGAAGCGCGTAGGACACTTTTTTTGCCTTTATCCCATTCAAATACGAATTTATCGATTACCAAAGTGTCCTAAATTGTCGTAAAATTGTCCGAACCCTTTCGTTTCTCATATCAAAGCCTTCAATAATTGTATATTGATCGAAATATGAGAGCTCGACGCCATTTTGGCTGTGGTCTGGGCTAAGTTAACAAATTTTTTACAAAAATCCAAATTTTGAAGGTGTCGGGACAATTCTTAGATGGTCACGAGTCATGTGTCAAGGTTTCGGACAGTTTGGTCTAATACCCTTAAACAAAAGTGTTGTATTCGAATTGACTGATTTGAGGGGGGTTTCACTTCACCTTAAGGGGCTATGCCAAAACGATGGTAAAACGAGGTCTCGGAGTGACAATTTAATTGACCTGGAAATCGCAGATGGCGCAGGGGGTCCCTCTGCAGCCAATTAGGGCCACAGAAAGCATGAATCCAGAGGACTTCTAGAGTTTTACTTCGATTTCTTGATATTTATTGTACGAAAACGACAGGTGGAGTATGCCATTTGGTACAATATCCAATATAATCCGACACAGCTGACAATATAAAAACGATGGCATTATGAGGTCTCGGAGTGAAAATTTAGTTGACACGGAAATCACAGATGGCGCAGGGCGCATTCATAAATTGGCTCTCGTCAGAAAAGAGGATATGTAACGTGGGCAACCACGTGAAGATATGCCTTAATTGCCATAAGAGCAATTGCTTCACGTTATACTGACTTAATTACGTCCAGCTGACAATATAGATCTGTGTATGTGTGTGTCACAAAATTCCTAGCGAACCGTTATACAGAATCGGTCGGAACTTTCCACAGAAAGTCAAGCACTCGATGACAATTCTCTGATATGGTTTTGACATTCATACATACATACCTGCTAGACCGAGCAGTACTATAATATAATTTTGATATTGTAATATCGCTGATATTATAGTTTAGTATAGCTGACGACATTTCCAAGTTATAATTTCTAAAACAAGAAATCTTTTCAACAAAACTAATACAACAGTATGTAGAGAAAAGGAGCAGTACTATAATATCATTTTGATATTGTAGTATCGCTGACATTATAGTGTAGTATAGCTGACGACATTTCCAAGTTATAATTTCTAAAACAACAAACCTTTTTAACAAAACTAATAAAACAGTGTGTAGAGAAAAGTATAAGGTACTACATGCATACCTGCTAGACAGAGCAGTACTATAATATCATTTTGATATTGTAGTATCGCTGATATTATAGATTAGTATAGCTGACGACATTTCCAAGTTATAATTTCTAAAACAAGAAACCTTTTCAACAAAACTAATACAACAGTATGTAGAGAAATGTATAAGGTACTACATACATACCTGCTAGACAGAGTAGTACTATAATATCATTTTAATATTGCATTATCGTTGATATTATAGTATGTCTGGATATTATAGTGTAGTATAGCTGGTGTTGTTGATACTATACTACTGCAAAAAGTGATATTAAATGTGCTGTTTAAAAAAAAAATATTTGATATAACATTTTCGTTCATCCTTTTTAATAATTCCTAACTGAAACGGCTATAAATATATTCCGTGACCAATTACAATTAATCTAAACTTGTAGCGCAAATTATGAAGTATCTCGTAGTCGACAGTGAATGGGTTCAATTACATGTATACATATGTTTTTGTCAACGTTACACGAAGCACGTACGCTATGCTATTTGATAACCTAATCATATCCCATTTCGGCTGATATCGCGTCTTTCTTTGAATCTCCTTCAAAAGAATCGCGATATTCGCTTTTTCCGTCCAGGTGTGACAACGAGAGAGGTGAACTTGCAATATTGCCAGACAGGCGCTTCCGTACAATAATTATACATATATAAAATCTAAGTAAAACTCCAGAAATCTTCTTTATTCATAGTATTTTACGCCCCATAGGTGTTTAGAACAATCTTTTCTACCGACGTCGATCAAATCTCGTGCTTCACTTCACCTTAATGACGTTTATTCGAAGTCTTACACAAAAAAATTAAAAATAAAGTTCAATTTGAATTTTGGCGCCATTCCGTGCTGCGTTCTCACGTTGCGCAGTCGCAGAGCGCGACTGATATGCAAGATAAAATAGTAGAGAATTATTGCAAAAGTTCCTCACTACCTCGAAGCGGTATTAATAATTCCGAGAAAAAAGTCTAGAAAATTTAAATATTTACATGTATCAAGATATCTGAAATATTTGTTGAAAATCTCACTGACGTATTTAGTTTCAATGATTTATAAACACGTATAGAAATTATACTTTTTAATTTATGTTCGTATAATAAAAGTACATTTTTTACTTCACGATTATAATCGGACACTACATTTGGTATTAAACAACACGACAAATTTTGTAATATCCTCTTTGTTGGTCTTTTCAATTTTCAAATTTGCCGCCAAATTCGCGGGCTACCCTTCTTGCCCTCGCTCGGGATGGAGGGTAGAAATTGTAGAGAAAGTGTACATAGATGCCCTCGCAAAACGAACAGCGACGTCACTTCCGTCAAAACCAACCCCAAAGTGTACACTTTTCATAAAAGTAGAAAGTGTAGGCGAAACGAACAAACCTTATGCATCTGACATCCTCCAGCGCATGCGCAGTCTACTATGTCGGACTTCGCGATAACTTATACTAAAGGTCGTAATTAAATGTTAAACCCGAAATATTCGTCACTTATCAAAAAATACTACATTCGAGGAACTGATATAACATTCACGTTTATAAATAATTTATGCACATGAAGTATGTATCATGTTTTAAATTAAGATCTTAGCGTCACCTAGAATGCGCATGCGCATAGCGGCATGGATTTGGCGCGATCGACCGTTACGTGATTTAAAACGGAAAGGTTTATAAAGATACATCAAATTGACAATTAAACATATAGACATCAACACCCGCATTCGTTGTTAATATATATATGATATAATATAATATGTTAAAAATTATAAGGAGTCAATGCACTTTTAACCAGAATTTAAATTCCATCTAGCCTACGATATCCATTCTGCGCGACACTAAGAAAGTTCGGAGCGAACGGTTGCGACATCTCCTGCGTAAGCTAAAAAAAGAAGTGCGTCATGATCAAATACCACATTGAATGAAATAATAAAAAGTACCAGCCTACTCCAGCACGTACACCATGGGCATACCCAAGAAAGTATAAGAAATGAATATCTAATATAACGTTAAACATAGATTTTTATTTAAATTTCGACGTCCTTCATCCACACGCATCACAGTGCAGCACCGCGCATGCGCATTGTAAAATCACCGCGACATCTGCAGTCTTCTAAAAGGAGTAAAAAGAAAAGTTCCATATGATCAGAGCCGAGTAAAATGGTTTTCGGAATGCATTTAAAATATAAAATATAACGTGGATTCGTAAAGTCCATTTAAATTGCATAATGGAAAATAGTCTTCCGTGTTCTGTTTAAACTAGAAACTGTAAAATATATATTTGAAATAGGTTAGTCAAAATGCAAAAAGGAATTTTTTATATTGTGAACGGGGTATTTTAGTGGGGAGTTCTATTTACAAATACAAATGAAATGTTAAATTTAATCAGTTTCTGCGAAAATGGCCTGTTTCGAGTTATGCGTGTTGTTTAACACTAGAATTACCGGCGGATTTTTTTTTTTTTATGTGGTGGGCCATTTGAAACCAGTTATTTTGACTGGGCTTAGTAATTCTAGTGTTTATTATATCGAGAGTTAATTCAGTTGACAGAAGAAATAACTTCGCGATTTTATCGTAGAAAATCGTATAATTAATAATTCCCCACTTTGCGATGTTTTTCACATATATTTTTAGTCTTTTAGCACATATATAAACACGGAAATATTTTAAGGAACAGTGAATTAATTTGGCGCTTGTATTTAAAATTCTTTAGAATTTTACGTTTTCTATATGACGGATTTCACAGATGCATGATATATGTATTCGCAAGGTTAACGTCTTTTACCGCACATATAAACACGTAAGAATTGTTAAGAGATAATTAATTTACCATTTGTATTCAAATTCTATCGACATAACCGTATTTAATATTAAATTTCTAATTGGATTTATTTTTTATTTAAAAAGTGAAGGACGTAATGTACTCCCCATTTTTCGGTGTTAATGACGTATATTACGTAACAAAGTAATTAATCGGAAAAAATCGAGGAAAACCAGTAAATTACGTTTCCAATATGAAGAATGCCGCAGATGGACGATATACGGTTTCTGCTAGGTTATAAACGTCTTTTAGCACATATATAAACACGGAAATATTATAAGGAACAATGAATTAATTTGGCGCTTATATTCAAAATTGTTTAGAATTTTACGTTCCCAATATGGCGGATTCGATAAATGCAAGATATATGTATTCTCGAGGTAGCTTTTAGCGGACATATAAACACGTAAGAATTGTTAAGAGATAATGGATTTACCATTTCTATTCAAATTCTGTCGACATAACTCTATTTAATATCAAATTTCTAATTGCATTTATTTTCTATTTAAAAAGAGAAGGACGTAACGTACTTTACGCTCTCGTGGAAAACTAGGTACGCATTATGCGTTCTAACATACACGTACATTACATGACGTATTACACCTACTCAACTCTGGTCCCAGCGCACGACAAGTGTAAACGAGGCTCGAGTGCGTAGCGCGAGCTGCGCATGCGCGTCGTCGAGTTAGCGGGAAGGTCCGCGACTTAACCTAAAAGAGGGAGGCCCGCAATCCGCGCGAAAAGATGGCGAGGCCGGGCTCGGAGTCAGTGTCACCCCGCTAGCGCGGACAGTCGGACCCCGAGGGCGGTCACCTGCCGACGTGTAAGCGGTCCGCGAGGCGCGGATCCTAACCTCGATGCGCCTCGACGCCGGGCACAGTCTCGCGCTCTGATACCAGTCCGCCCACTCGCCGCGCCGATTCCGCCTCGCGCACTGCTATTCCGACTCTCCGCGGCGAACATGTGCCGATAATATACCGTAACCGCGTTGCAGGGATTCGACACCGGTCCTGAGAAGACGTCAGGAGGAAAATGGCAGGCAGCTACACGAAAAAGGAATTCGGCCTGGGCCCTGAAGAGCAGACGCTCCTTAAGGGGTCCAACGGGACGCGCATCGTGGCCAAAGGTGAGAAATTCCCATTTCTCCCCCGTTATCCGGTTTCCCCCTGTTTCCTCCCCTCCCCTCCCCCCTACCTAACCATCGCGCCCTCTTTCCGCCCCTTTCGTTGAGTATTTTTAACCTCTCTTTAGGACCGCGCGCGAGTTCGCTCTCTTCCTAGTTTTCGATAGCTTTCGATAGTGTTCGATAGTGTTCGATAGTTTTCGATAGTTTTCGATAGTTTTTCGCCGGCCGATCGCCAACGAGGTGCGGGAGTCTTTAGAGTAGCGATGTTTCAATTTAGTGTTTATGAGTTTCGTTAAGATTTCCTATCTTTTTTTTCTCCGCTTTTACCGCCCTTTCTCTATGCCGTTCGCGCTCTTTTCGCCCTCGCACTCTTCTGATATCTAATCTGCTTTCTAGCATCGCATAATTTACATCCGTGTTTATGGTCAAGATTGGAGTTTGTTCTGATCCAGCAGCCTGTGGATGGATGAACCTTTATCTTATCTGTGCCTATGGTGTGGGTGACCCCTGTTATTTGATTTTATGTCACATGATGTATGTTTAGTGATATTAACGTATTTCCTTGCTTCGATGATTAATTAGGATGTAACTGCTTTTTTTTTTAATTCAAGGAATGGGTAGGAAAGCGTTTAGTAAGTCATTTTTCAAATCTTTGTTTTCCCTTCCTTTAGGTGGGAAGAGTAATTATATTTCATTTTATGTTGTGCGCTACGATGTGTATTTAATGATATTAATGTATATCGTTGCTTCGAAGATTAATTTATGATGTAACTGCTTTTTTTTTTAATTCAAGGAATGGGTATGGAAGCGGTTGATAAGAGTCATTTATGAAATCTTTGATTTTACGTTACATGCTACGATGTGTGTTTAATGATATTAATGCATTTCCTTGCTTTGAAGATAAATTTAAGATGTATCTGCTTTTTTTTGTAATTTAAGGAATGGGTAGAGAAGTGTTTAGGATGAATCATTTATGAAATCTGGGTTTTCCCTTCCATTAAGTAGGAAGAATGTAACGGAAAGTTAGAGCTTTGAATCGTTTGCAGCGATTATATGTTTTAATGTATTACAATGTTACCTGAATTGTTGATACCTAAACTTCCGTAAATGAGTTTATTTAATGTTTGATTCTTGAGTGTTGGAATAGTTATTGAAGATCGATACTATACTTCCTGTATTGCATTGCAGAAATTGGTGAACGTTTATGTTATACTAAAATTTAATTAGCAAGAATTTATCGGTTCCTTCGCCCTGCTGGATATTTGTTATGTCTGTGATAAATGTTGACCCATGTAATATTTAACTTTGGCTCAGATTAATTTTGCTGTTATTAAAAGACCATGTACACTATTTTTGTATCATGTTACGCCATGCTGGTAAATATTTTTATTCTGTTAAAATTCAAAACAAGGTTAATGAATTTGGCCTGGGGAAGTTTTTTATTTTGACTAGCCGTCAATGTTTTTCCCCAGTGATAAATGTTAAAATGTTTAAATGTATGAGGTATTCTTAAGAAAGCTGATAAGCTATCCTTTGGGCTTAGATTTCTTATGGCTACATTCGTATCTGTACATATGTGTAATATGTTTATGCAGGATATTTCCAAATGAAACTGCTAGGATAATGTAAAAGTCTTGGAATTTCAAAACGCATGTATATTGTCAACTTGATTAACATTTCTTTCACATGTAAAACTATATATTAGTTTAATAAGAGTAATCAACGTGAATGCAGATAGGTTTAATTTAATTTTCCACTATATTTGTTAATGCTCTTGCTCTTATAATATTTTTATCGAAAAGAGAAACTTACTAATAAACATCAATAAATAATAAGTATAGTTAAAATTAAACGCAGTCATGAAAATTACTTCAGTTTTTAAGGGAGTTGATAATTTGCTTTTTATTTTAGCTTGATGACTTCTTGATAGCTTTTTATATTTTTAGTTTGGTACAAGGAACCGTTTGAGTTAAAGATACGAGAACTTTCAAACTGGAGATGTCTTTTGTCGATCAAAATTAAATCCAATCAATAGAGATGTGATAAGAACGTGGTTGACTTTATTCTTACATAACGTTTGAGAATGATAAAATTTGATATTTTTAGCTCTTCTATCTGAGAGATAATTTTAGAGTACTACAGTTGATATCTTGCATTAACCATTCATGATGTTAAAATTTCATCGGCCATATAATTCTTAAAGCTTCAAATCAGGAACACGTTTCAGTGAAGGTTTAATTTTGTGCACCGTTTGCAAGTGACTATTCCAAAGTTTTCACGTTTTAACAAATTCATAGATCAGATAAAAGCACTTGTATGTAATAATTATAGAGCAGATGACATTAAGACGCCAACAATTGATTTGCTTTTACATATTAAAAAAAGGTATACTCCCTTTCGTGTGTTCGCAATATAATAAAAATTGTTAAATATAAAGAACGTACATGAAATGTTCATACGTTCTTGCATCATTTGGTGTATGAAAACAAAAAAGATGATGATCAGTATTTCACTTTGATATGTATTACATGCGTAGTTTTTACCATTATAGAAATAGCTTTTAGTGCTAAAAGACTTTTTTTAATGTTAAATGTGAGGTATGCGTATAGGACGTAAGCCATTCCTGTGATGAAAAGTGTTAAAAGACGTCTTTTAGCTGTTTAAACATATCTAAAACACGTATTTTAATGCTAAAAATGAAGTATAAAGACGCCTTGTGTTGCATTTGACATATATTCGTTTAATCTCTGATAATTATATGTGACGATACCCTTGTAGCCATTAAGGAGATATCTGCGGTCCGAAGTGTGCGATAATGATGACAGTATTTCTGCAAGTCCGAGACCTCTAATATGCAGTTTGTGAAAGAAACTTGAAGATTTTCTATCTATTGTCTTAGAATAGAATCTTTTCCCAACGAATGGGTGTGCAAGAAATCTAATGTTCCTGTAGGTAGATGTAACTCGACCATAAAATGTATTCTACGATTACTTACAAGTTAGGTTAGAACTTCCGACACACCGAATGTACAATTCATCCATCTCTATCTTGTTTAGCGAGCTATCTCAGACCTTAGGTTATCGTTGTAAGTTTTTATCTAAAAAGTGACGCTGGCTCATCCACTGTTACATTTCATTATTTCTTTTTTTGTTACCATCTAACAATTTTATGTGCAAAGTAGAAAGTTATTCCTGTTAGTAGTTAAGTACAAATCTTAAATGTTTGGTATATTTTCCTCTCTACAGGTTGTGCGTCCTATAGTACTTTTAATGTGCCGCTTTCAATTGGTAATTAACGTTTACTTAATTTCACCCGTTAAGATGATATGAAAGGCGCTGGGAAATTTAATTTAGGTCGATAAATTAAAATTCATCTATACCCTTTTTGGCGGGAACGCCATTTTGAATACTCAAGTGGTAACATAAGCTGGCGCGTCACGTTTTATTATAATATATTTCATTTATTTATATTTATGATGAAGTCTTTTACAGTCTACGTTGAGAATTATATGAATTAAAGCGTTACATATGTCATTTCGGTAAAATAACGATGAAGAGATCGATGTAAAACTGTGAATTCATTATTCTAACGACTGTATAGGAGCAGCGTCGCCATCTGTGACGTTTAGCAGCAACTAAATTTTTGCTCTAAAACCCCGCGTTAGCCCCGGGACATGCCAGCATTCTCTTGCAATCGTTGGTGAAAGTATTCCATATTTTCCCACCTGACTCAGTAAAATTCCATTTCTATGGTATTCAAAATTCTTCCAGCTAGATCCTGAAACTCTTTATTTTTTATTCTAAGCCTCCAATAAGCGTAAAACATCGAAAACCTGCACGGCCCACGCCACGTTGATTCTAGTCCATGATAAATAAATAAATTTTTCATGAAAAATAAAATTTCCTGAGTTTCGGGACCTACTTCAGAGCCTCCATATTCCCGTGGTGAAATTTCAAACTAATCGGTACACCCAATTCGGGGAATACTATCACCAACGATTTGAATTCTCAGATATATATAGGCTGACCTTTTCATATCACCTTAAGTATGATATGTGCCCATAATTATGAAAGTGGTCCAAGTCATATATTTTTTGTTTCGAAATTACATTGAATTAATTTCGTTTGAAATAATATGGCGTGAAATAACTGATAAACTCATTTTTTTTTTTTAAATTTTGACTTAGACCACTTTCATAATTATGGGCACATATGACGTCCCTCCTAAGAGCGTCCGATGCATGCTTTCTCTCTCCGATGGTGTGCCTATGAGTGTCAAGACTACCAAGATAGAAACTCCAATCGGTCTCATCCGGGCATGGCCAATGCTTATTGACTCGGTTAAATTCGATAAATTGATTCAAATTGGACTCTAATCTTTGCACCCTTGTCCTTTGGCGTCTCTGCATGTGATATTTCTGAATCGTCGGAGCTTCTCTCGGCACTTCTTTCTGGCTATTCTCATACCATGTCTAAGCAGAGACGGAATGCCTGGAATGTTAATTAATATCTTAATTCACAGGAACGGAACCAGTGAGGCTATCCCCGGGATGGGAAGGAACGGGAAGGCCTGACGACGAATTAAATTTTAAAGGCGTTACGATGGATCAGGCGGACCTTGAAATCAATCCACCGAAGGACAGGTAATTGTTTATTCGCTTATGACTCCTTTAAGGTGAAGTGAAACACCCTTCAAATCAGTCGATTCGAATACAACACTTTTGTTTTAAGGGTATTGGACCAAACTGTCCGAAATTTTGACACCATCACTCCTGATCATCTAAGAATTGTCCTGACGCATTCAAAATTTGGATTTTTTAATTAAATTGTTTAACTCAGCCCAGGCTAGAACCAAAATGGCGTCGAGCTCTCATATTTCGATCAATATACAATTATCGAAGGCTCTGATATGAGAAACGAGAGGGTCAGGACAATTTTACGACAATGTAGGACACTCTGGTAATCGATAAACTCGCATTTTAACGGGATAAAAGCCAAAAAATTGTTGTATACGCTTCTATGCCAAAACGATGGTAATACGAGGTCTCGGAGTGAAAATTTAATTGACCTGGAAATCACAGATGGCGCAGGGGGTCCCTCTGCAGTCAATTAGAGCCCCAGAAACCATGAATTCAGAGGATTTCTGGAGTTTTACTTTGATTTCTTTATAATTATCGTACGAAAACGACAGGTGGAGCATGCCATTTAGTACAATACCCAATATAATTCTACCCAGCTGTCAATATAAAAACGAACGTCGGCAGCGTAGGCATTTAGAAAAATCTTTATCGAACGTTGATCAAGTTCCTCGACGTGTTTCACTTCACCTTAAATGCCTCTTAGCGGAGGTAAATCATAACGCTTCCTGTTTTCAGATTGAACCTGGTGTTTTTTGTACTGCTGTTACATGGTATCGGTGCCTTGATGCCCTGGAATATGTTTATAACAGCGAAGGATGTGAGAAAAGATATATCTTAAGCTCTAACGCTTTTTGCACTACGCGAGTCGATTGTTCTGTGCGGTAACGCTTTGTTACGTGAACGTTGTCTAATGACTAAGATGATTTATCTAATCGGATCTCTCGTTGTTTCTTATACATGTGTCTCTTTGTTTTTCTACAGTATTTTGTCAACTATAAACTCTCGAAGATGTATACTGGCGTCGAGTCACACTACGTAACGAATTTTTTAGCCGACGTAGGATTCGCTGCGCAGATACCGAATTTACTGTTCAACTGGCTGAACGTATTCATCCAATTGGGGTAAGTAATCTCTTGTCAACCTCGAACTGTTAATTCGGTGGTCTCTCATTAACTATCTTTCTTATTTACCGTGCTGTTTTTTACACCATAATTTGTTTTAATTTCCTAGAGGTAACTTAACCACTCGTATAGTATGGGGGATTCTTGTACAAGTTCTTGTGTTCGTCTTTACGGTTGTGCTGGCAATGACTGATAGCTCCGGTTGGCCCGATGCATTCTTCTGGATCACTATAATCTCCGTTGTTATACTGAACAGTAAGGATACTTTCATAAGAAATGACTATTTGATTGCTTGTTCGAAGCTCCTGAAGCATTGAAGGATCGCAAAAGTTATGTTCAAATTGGGGAAAGAAGTACCCTTTGTTCTGCCATGGGTACCTCTTTCCTCAGGTCACACTTACATCGTTGTCTTCTCAGCTGTGTTAATCTTGTACCAAAATATTTATTGTAAAGTACGCTATTGTTATGTACCGAGTGAATACAGTGGATTTCAATTTTCAGCTTCTAATGGTATTTATCAAAACTCGGTTTTCGGAATGGCTGCAAAGTTGCCTAGCAAGTACACTGGTGCCGTTGTCCTGGGTTCGGTAAGTATTCTTGTTAACCGTTGATAATTCATTAGACTTATGCCCGGTTCCACCAACCTCGGTTAAATCATTGATTACCTAACCGTAGGTTAAAGTTAACGTCTAAGGTAATCATGGGTTAAAAACGTAAATGTTCCATCACATTTATTTAGTGCGTGATCAACTAATCGTATATACCATTCGAAGTAATAAATCATTGATTACTTAACCGTAGGTTAACGTTACCGTCTAAGTTACTCGTGGGTTGAAAATGTAAATGTTCTATTATATTGATTTAGAACGTGATTAACTAGTCGTGTACACCATTCGAAGTGCTAATTCATCGATTACTTAATCGTAGGTTAAAGCTAACGTCTTAGATAATCATGGGTTAAAAAACAAATGTTCCATCCCATTTATTTAGAGTGCGATTAACTAATCGTGTACACCATTCGAAGTGCTAAATCATTGATTACCTAATCGTAGGTTAAAGCTAACGTGTAAGTTAATCATTGGTTAAAAACGTAAATGTTCCATCCCATTTATTTCGAGTGTGATTAACTAATCGTATATAATCATTCGAAGTGCTAAATCATCGATTACCTAATCGTAGGTTAAAGCTAACGTCTAAGATAATCATGGGTTAAAAAACGTAAATGTTCCACCACATTTATTTGGAGTGCGATTAACTAATCGTATACACTATTCGAGTTAAGCTGAATTGTTAGTGAACGCGTTCGCGTGATTGGCTGATACTCTGATCGACTAGAAAGCAAAAAGTTGAAGTGCGATTAACCGAAGCTAAACGATTGAATTTGGCTGGTTGATCTAAACGGCAGTTAACGGAAATTAACTCGCAGTTAAAATGAACTTTACTTACTCAAGGAGTTCTTTTGGTTAAGAATGAATATGAAATATCTCCAAGCGTACTTCGATCATGAAGAAATTGTAAATAAAATCAATAATGTCTTCATACGTTTCGCCATAAGATGTTAATACATACTCAATCTAATCCATGTTTTCCTCACGTTTGTGCTGCTTTTAGGTTAAAGTTCGATTAACCTAAGCTAAACGATCAAATTTAGCTGATTGATCTGAACGGCGGTTAACGGAAATTAACTCGCGGTTAAAATGAACTTTACTTACTCAAGAAGTTCTTTTGGTTAAGAATGAATATGAAATATCTTCGAGCGTACTTCGATTATGAAGAAATTGTAAATAAAATCAATAACGTCTTCATACGTTTCGCCATAAGATGTTAATACATATTCAATCTAATCCATGTTTTCCTTGTGCAGCTTTTAGGTTAAAACTCGATTAACCTAAACTAAACGATCGAATTTGCTGTTTAAGCTAAACGGCGGTTAATGGAAATTAACCTGCCGTTAATATGTGGTGGAACGTATAACTCATTGTAACCGAGGATTAGCATTTTAACCAAGGTTGGTGGAACAGGGCATTAAACTTAAATGTCTCTAGTGGCTGCGTTAAATGTAAGCAGCAGGTTTTTTTTTACATTATTCTTACATTTGCCATAATGTCAAAAGTGGTTCAACTGGAAGTTAATGTCAAATGACGAGAAATATATTAAAATAATTCCACATACTGTACTCATGTATCTTATATTTGAGATAATTTTCGTTGATGTGTAGTAGTCTAAACACGGAATACAGTAGTACTTTATAGAATCTTAATATGGCAATAAATTTTCGTTACAGAGAATAAATGAAAATATTATAAATACTTGAAAATTTTTATTTACACATTTAAGTGCATTAGTATGGTTGTTTTGTTATTACCAATGATATTAAATGTCTCCTTTGTTGATTTATATTCATCAATGTTTTTTAATCAAGCATAAAAAAAGGATTAGTGCCGAATAAAGTATATATGTATTGAATATTGTTTTTCAGAATATTAGTGGAACGTTCACAGCTATAATAAGCTTCCTCGCCCAAGTAATGGCTCCAAACGTCCGGACTGCAGCTATATATTATTTCATAACTGCACTCTTTGTGCTGCTAGCATGCTTTGATACTTACTTTGCTCTTCCTATAAATGTAAGTTATCTAAATGGGCTGACGTGAACATGAATAACCACCACAAGTGAATGTGTCGTTTATCAGGCTTGAGAACAAGTAATGGGTTAATGCGCTGATAAGTTAATCATACATACGAGAGGTGACAAAAGAGAACTTTTCTTGAATTATTATTCACTGATTTCACTATTTTCAGAGTGTAACGTGTGAATGAGAGTTCTAAAATTACCTTTCATTGGTATGTTTTTTAATTTTCTATGATATTCTTATCGTTGTAAACACTGTATAAGGTAACTCTAGTAGAACCTAAGATTATATGATTATATTATATAAGATTATATTCACGGTTATTATTTCAACGTCTTGACTATACATATCGTATTATCTGAAAATAAGCTTCAGAGTTGCTCCTTAATCTATTAACAAGAAAAGAGGTTATTTTTATTTGCTCCATCTCGTGTAGAGTATTGAAACTATGAGTCATTCGCAATGCTATATATAAGTGTTGCCCGTTCAAACGTATTTGGCGCGAAAGTATGCCATATTTTTTTTTTTGTTCCATGTGTATACAGGGTGAATAATTGATGCATAGATTATTCGAGTAACACCCACGTCTATGAAAATAAAAATCGACTGATGCAATTAATGTATAGGATTGACAGAGCATTATGTATGGCGAAATATTTCCCAATAGAATGATTTCTTTTTATTAATTGTACGAAGTGTTTCTCAAGATAAATGCAGTGACTAATGACAGTCATTTCGGTCATTTAAAATCAATCGTACTGTGTAGTTTAGTTGTCGTCATTTACTATGAAAAAATGCTATGTCAATTTTTTCTTTTCCACTCTGAAATGTTGGAAAAAAAAAATATCTAAAACGGGAACATTTGTAATTGGTACATGTGGACTCATTCTGAAGTAATAAAATTGTTGTTTACATTTCGCGATAACAGATGTGATATCGCGACGTAATGGCATTTTGTTTCACCTAGATATGTTGGTCATTGTTTTGCAAATTATTGTATTGCATCATTAACATTGTTAACATAAAATCTCTTCTCAGAATCGGGCATGGGCAACTGTGGTATATATTTCAGGGTATTTGTTTTATTAGTCATTCTCATATAATTAAACAAAAAAAAATAGTATATTTTTCCATTAAAAAGTCAAGATGTATTGTTAGCCTTCAATATCAAACATTATTAATTTAACATTTTTTGTTCTCTTTTTTTTTTTTAAATATGAAGAAGTAATTTCAATTACTTGTTTCAAGTGCTTATTTTGCGAATTTTTTCATACGTTCGCTAGCAATAAAAAGTGTTTTTGTTTAGATATCCTATCTTGTAAATAAGCATATACATATTAATGTAACGTGTCAAGTCTTATCGTCTCATAATTGAATTCACTTAACGCAGCTCATTGAAAGTCGTTGCCCATATCCAAAGTATCAATTAACAGAAGCATCTGTTTAATTATATTTAATTATTCAATTGTTTGTAATGTTACGGTATTAGCAATAAGAAGTGTTTTTGTTTAGATATCCTATCTTGTAATAATCACGTGCATACTAATGTAACGTGAATCAAGTCTTATCGTCTCATAATTGAATTCACTTAACGCAGCTCATTGAAAGTCGTTGCCCATATCCAAAGTATTAATTTGCAAAAGCATCCGTTTAATTATATTTAATTACTCAATTGTTTGTAATGTTAGGGTATTCATTTTTATATTTGAACGCCATTAAAAAATAATGTACATTTGGGTATAAATAGTCATTAATTCCGATGCATTGTATTACAGCAAATGTATATTATGACTAGTTAAATATCAGGCAACTATTCATATAGTTGAGATCTTTAACTCTTACATGTGTTGTAGTTTAAGTGGTGATATTACTTGTTTCCTTGCCTGATAAATTATATTTGGTCACTTGTAGTTGTTATAGATAGATAGAGACATTGTTAACGATGGATATTGCAATTTCATTTCAGAGATTCTATCGGTATCATGAGTTGCTCTATCAAAAGGAGAACAGGAAAAGGGAACTTGAGAGCAATTCAAGAGGGAAGAGTGAAACGCCGCCATACTGGAAGATATTCAAGCAGTGTTTCCCTCAGCTGGTCAATATATTTTTCATCTTTTTCGTCACTTTAGCGCTCTTCCCTTCCGTTCATTCCGACGTAGGAATATCCGATCCAAACTTCATTGTTCCTAAACAATATTACGTTAGCGTAATGTGCTTCTTGACATTCAACATTACGGCTATGCTTGGAAGTAGTATTGCATCGATGGTGCAATGGGTATGTAAAGGAGGAAGTTGTTTTATCTGTTCGATAAGAAGATATTAAGGTGATATGAAAGAGTCAGCCTATACCCAGTGAACACTGTTATATAACTTTTGGGTAAATGTTACGTTTTCGAAACTAACATGTTACGTAGCATAAAAGTAACATGTTACGTAGCATAAAAGTAACATGGAAGTTAGATGTTAGTTATTATTTCCCACTCGGTAAGGTAACATGTTACGTAACATGTTATATTAATGTTATAATTTCAGTTACCTTAAAATAATATTCATTTTTCATATCTTTAATAAAAAATATTACGCAATTTTATCAAAAAACGTTGACCCTAAACAGTCGTTAGAATAATTAATTCACGGGATTTCAACAGTTTTACAGCAATCTCTTTGTCTTTATTTTACTGAAATGACGTATGGAACGCTTCAGTTCGTATAATTCTCAAGGTAGACTGTAAAGGACTTCAATATAAATATAAATGTCGGTAACGAGACGCGCCAGCTTATGTTCCCACTTGAGTATTCAAAATGTTACCAACAAAAAGGGTGTAGATGAATTTTAATTTATCGAGATTGATTAAATTTCTCAGCGCCTTTCATATCATCTTAAATTCTTTTACTGTAGGTAGACACTTTTAGGGTAGAAAGTGGCAGTAATAGATACGTTTCTCTTGTTACAGCCTAGCAAGAAATACTTGGTGATTCCAGTAATGCTGCGATTACTTTACCTACCGTTATTCCTGTTTTGCAACTACCATCCAGAAAACGTGAAGAGAATACTGCCGGTTTACATCCAAAACGATTGGGCTTATCTTTTAATTGCTGTGACAATGGGGTTGAGCAGCGGCTATTTCTCGTCCGTGGCTATGATGTATTGTCCTAGGTAAAGTATCGAGGAAATTGATTTAACAGAAGAAACACGTCTTCGTAATTTGCAATCATGAAGTAGTATAAGGAGACAACGCCGATGGTCGGTTCCACAGAAAGTTACCTAGGGTCTCAGATTTTCGTTGATGTAACGATGCGAGAAGAATTACTTTCAGAGTTCAAATACTGTTTAATCATTTTGTTCATGAAATGTTTAAAACTGCGTCGCCTCTTCAACATTTTTGGGTTATTGCATGTGTCTTTCTGCTTACTATTACTATGCAAATACTAGTAGGCTGTGTAAACGCTACTATCGTGTAAAGCACTCGGTTTTAGTAACTCGTACGAGTTACCGGCACCGTGTAAATTCCCCTTAAGGTGAAGTGAAACCCCCCTCAAATCAGTCGATTCTAATGCAATACTTTTTTAAGGGTGTTGGACTAAACTGTCTGAAACTTTGACACATGACTCGTGATCATCTAAGAATTGTCCTGACGCATTCAAAATTTGGATTTTTTAACAAAATTTTTTAACTCGGCCCAGACCAGAACCAAAATGGCGTCGAGCTCTCATATTTCGATCAAAATACAATTATTGAAGGCTGTAATATGAGAAACAAAAGGGTCAGGACAATTTTACGACAATTTAGAACACTCTGGTGATCCATAAACTCGCATTTGAGCGGGGTAAAGGCAAAAAAAAGTGTCTTATGCGCTTTTATGCTAAAACGATGGGAATACGAGGTCTCGAAGTGAAAATTTAATTGACCTGGAAATCACAGATGGCGCAGGGGGTCCCTCTGCAGTCAATTAGGGCCCCAGAAAGCATTAATCCAGAGGATTTCTGGAGTTTTACTTCGATTTCTTTATAATTATTGTACGAAAACGACAGATGGAGTATGCCATTTGGTACAATACCCAATATAATTCGACACAGCTGTCAATATAAAAACGATGGCATTATGAGGTCTCGGAGTGAACATTTAATTGACCTGGAAATCACAGATGGCACAGGGGGTCCCTCTGCAGTCAATTAGGGCCCCAGAAAGCATTAATCCAGAGGATTTCTGGAGTTTTACTTTGATTTCTTTATAATTATTGTACGAAAACGACAGATGGAGTATGCCGTTTGGTACAATACCCAATATAATTCGACACAGCTGTCGATATAAAAACGAACGTCGGCAACGTAGGTATTTAGAAAAATCTTCTTCATCGACGTCGACCAAGTTCCTTGACGTGTTTCACTTCACCTTATGTGCCACAGATCTAGTTTTCAAGCCATTATAAATAATGAACGAAACATTTTGGTTTTCATCATCTGTCTGACATTAAAAATGCGCTCCGGATATATACTTACTATACATGCGTATGACGAGAAATCTAAAATTAATGTCTGAAAATTCTTTTCCAGAATGGTGGAACCAAAGTATGCTGCGACAGCTGGTATGTTTGGAGCAGCGTGTCTGATCAGTGGCATCTTCTCTGGGATCTTATTTTCTAGGCTTATGCCGAAAATAGTTGCCACTATATCGTTCGAGTGAAGCCGCGCTAGCATTTTAAGGTCTGATATAGGTCCGTCAAGTGGATCGAATAGTTTCCATCTATTGAGAATCGTTGGTACACCGATACGTTATTGCAGTTTTATATAATAATGACGATTTTGAGAAGCAGAGACGTCGCGACAGCGTAATGTCGCGACCTTGCTGGATTTTCTCGTGCTCTTCTGGGGATCTTAAGGTGATATCAAAGTGTCATATGCGTACCAAAAAGTCAAAATATGTATAAAACTTTTCTCCAAATTGGGTGCAATCATTTGCAATCATCGCGAGATCACGGAGGCCCTAAGGAAGAGAGCGAGGGTCATGAAATTCCATGTTTCGACAAAAAATTTCTATTTATCTCGGACAAGAACTAAAAACAGACATTTCTCTTTGTCTTTTTTTCTTTTTATCGAAAAATGAAATTTCAAGAGCATCGCGTTCTTCCTTAGGACCTCCGTAATCACGTGTTAACGTTTCAAATGATACGGTGCACCCATTTTGGAGAAAAGTGTTATAAATATCTTGACGCTTTGATTTACAGAATGGCCCTTTCATATCACCTTAACGATGCACTAGAAAAAAGAGAAGAAGCACGTCCAATTGGTGGACGCCAAGTTGCTAAAAGGAAACTAAAAAAGGGAAAAGGAGACGCGCCGAAAATTCTCCGGACTATAAAAGACGGTTCGACGTCGACTGAATGAGTTCTTCTGCAATTGGCAGTGTTCCAGCTATTGGGTTGGCAACCAAATGATTGGGGATTTTGTCGGTAGATGGCGTTAAAAAATCTGCAGTCACTTAGTTACCGACCCAATATATTGCGGAAAGTCGGACCAATTCACCTTAAGGAGCTAGTCTAACGCATTCACGGCGATCTTCTGCAGGGTATTACAAAAGAGAGAATGGTCATGTCCGCTTATTCGCGTGACACTCGAGAACATATACTGTTTCTAGAATCTCGAAACTGAAATCAAATAAGCCAACTGTCTCGCGTAAGAGCAAACGCTGCGTTATGCAAACGAGTGATAAGGGATTGATCATATTGGCTGTGGTCCTAACTCGTATCTCACTTTTAGCGTCAAAAGATATATTTTAGAGCACTGTTAAAAGCGACCCTACTCATGTGTCGCTTTTAAACCACTTTTGTAGAGAATCCTTAAAAGAAACTATGAAAAACGTATTTTAGCGGCAGCACCTACTGATACCCTGTTTTAAGCTTCTCTTTGAGCGCTTTTAGGATAAAAACGAGCGACGATTCCATAAAATTTGGTAGGAGGCACTTTTATATCGCTTTTAGCTGTCAAAGTCACGTGTTAAATTTTGATAGCTTTTTATTGTCAAAATCGTACGTAAAAAATGGAATGCACTTTTCACAAAGCAGAAGCTCTCGCGAAGTAAATACAGGGCATCAAATAAATACCAGGGACTTTTTAATTCGAATTTATGTCGTTCTTGGCTAACCAAGATATTGGGCTTTATTCTGTCAAACTCTCAACAGACTTTTATGACTTTATTCTGTCAAGTTCTCAACAGACTCTGGAACTTTTGGCATACGAAAAATGCATGCGCTTAACGCAGTCGTCAGATTTTTCCGACGTTGTTAAATTACATTTCCTAAAAGCGGCCATAAAAGAAGGTATGAGTATGGCGTCTTTCAGCAGCGGTCCGTTCTTTAACTAAAAGACGTTTAAAAGCGTTGCTAAAAGTGAGATACGAGTAAGGGCCTTAGCTTTTATCGAAATAGAAATGGTTTACTCACGTCTCGCACCGCATTGAAATTGTAGGTTTGTAACTAATTTTTCATACGAGCCATTTTAGGTTTTGTCAGCTTGTAGTTATAGATTATTTAACTACGAGTAATCAGAAAAAGAGAAAAACATATTTGTCGAAGGAAATGAGATTTTCGCTCGTATGAGATTTTAGTACTGTTGACGGTTTTATTTTTTATCATAACTAAAAATGTTCCTAGGAAGAGAACCTTGTCGAGTTATATGATGCGAAAAGTGAAGTGAATTTAATCATGTTAATTACTATTAGTGTTACGAGTCGAACATATTCGACTGGTTAAATCAGATTTGAATTATTGTATTAAGTGCGGTTCTTTACATTCTTACTTTTTATACTGAAATTTGCTCCTGTTTGTACGTCACCGACCTTCGGTTAACCTTGAAGTTGGCCTTACACGTAGATGGGTACTGCCAGGATAAAAACAGGAAGAAATTAGTGTTTCCCGTGTTTTTGGAGACCCTGGCATGGTTTGAACAGTCCTTATTAATGCTAATCTATGTACAGTGACAGTAAAATACAATTTATTTATGAACTAAAATTCTGACCTAGCTCCGGTTCATTATATGTATCTGGAAATACTTGGGGAATTTAGAAATGACCCGAGTGGTGACGAGTCCGCCTTAAAATACTGCAGGACAAGTCTACGTCAAAGTAGGTTCCTGAGATTAATATCAAACATTAGATAGTGTCTGTTGAGAAAAATGATATCGCTTATCAGACTAGCTCCTTCGGGATACTCGAATCGATCATGGTCACCACGAAAAAAGAATTCAGAAGTCTCCATAGAAGCCCAGAAGGATACGGACCTTCGATGCTCGACGAATAGTACCTCGGCCAACCGATGGCGGCGCTGTAATCGTCTCCCCATTTCTCTTAATCTTACGGCGATATGTAGCGGATGGGATTTTTTCTTTATCTTACTCATAGTAATTGCCTTCCATATGCGTCTCTTTTCCTCCTGTATGTGTGATACTGTTTCTTAACACATGTAATCTCTATTGTAACCCCAATTCTGGTTTGTTAGCCAACTTTTAGAGCATCGAACGCTAAAACAGGATCTGGGCTTCTATGGAACTTCTGGATTCTTTGCCACTAATTAGGGTACCATTCGTTTGAATCGCAGCCGCTTATGAAGCACACAAGTTATTAATGAATATTTAGTGACTAAGGATCACTTGCAGAGTACAAGCTGAGGTCGTGAATGATGGAAAGTTCGCCTTCGAGGTAGACAAAGCGAGACTACCTACTGAATTTAGGGCATTTCGTTGCAACTGTGTGTATACATGCTGACAAGGCTTATGAGATTGTATAAGACTTTTATACATGTTTTTACCTTTGTATTCTTGTTTCCTCTATTCTACACCGCTGAGGGAGTTATGTCGATTCTCAGGGCACCCCCAGGTCTTAGATATCGTCGGCGGAAAGTTCATCGGAAACGATTCGTCGGTAAAATTATGATTTGATATGAGAAGTTTGTCGTTGGTCTAATATTTGACGAGAAAACACTGACGAAACGTTTCGCTTCGTTTTCTTCAGGGACTATTTTCCTTCTTTCCCTTTTTTTCAAAGTCCGTTCTGCTTTTTGGCCATTCATCCTTTTGAAAACAGTTTTTCAGACTTATCCAAGGATGACTAACATGGATCCAATAAAAACTGCACTGAGGAATTATTTTTTCGAATTCTGTTTTTGACGAGTTGCCTTTTCGATGAATTCTTTGATGAGTCGTTTTTTCTATGAGTTTCTTTTCGAATTATTTCTCTATCAATTTTCTTTCCAAATTATTTTTCGATGAATTTTCATTTCGAATTATTCTTAGATGAATTTTCTTTTCGAATTATTTTTTGTTGAGTCTTCTTATCATATTACTTTTTGATAAATTTTCTTTTCGAATGATTTTTCGATGAATTTTCTTTTCGGATTATTCTTCGATTAATTTTCTTTTCAAGTTATCCATCCGTGAATTTTCTTTNTAAAATTATTTTTCAATGAATTTTCATTTCAAGTTATTCTTTGATAAATTTTCTTTTCGAATGATTTTTCGATGAATTTTTTTTCGGGTTATTCTTCGATTAATTTTCTTTTCAAGTTATCCATCTGTGAATTTTCTTTTCGAATTATTTTTCGGTGAATTTCCTTTTCGAGTCATTCTTTGATAAATTTCTTTTCGAATTATTTTTCGATGAATTTTCTTTTCGGATTATTCTTCGATTAATTTTCTTTTCAAGTTATCCATCCGTGAATTTTCTTTTTGATACATTATTTTTCGATGGTTTTTCTTTTCAAGTTATTCTTTGGTGAATTTTCTTTTCGAATTATTTTTCGGTGAATTTCCTTTTCGAGTCATTCTTTGATAAATTTCTTTTCGAATTATTTTTCGATAAATTTTCTTTTCGGATTATTCTTCGATTAATTTTCTTTTCAAGTTATTCTTTTGTGAATTTTCTTTTCGAATTATTCTTCGATGAATTTTCTTCCTATCGACTGTTTTCAGTGAACTTTCCGCAAACCTTAGATATCGATTCACGTGAACACTCTAGTGTCACATTACAGAATAAGTGCGATTTTTACTCACTCCACGTTGTTACTTATTTTTACTTAGTGATACTTCGCTTTTCTAGCGTTACGTTTGTTCTACCGCATCGATATTAGCTATCGGTCTTTTTTCTCTCCTTTCTTTTTTCTTTTACCTTTTACGACTTATTATAAGCGTGAATGAGAACAGTTTACGCTCTCGATGACACTGTCTTCCCACTGAACTCGTGTTTGTGCTCATGACTTTCCGGAGCGACGGAGCTTGTTTGTAATATATACTGTACTAAATCGTTGAACGAGCCCACCCTCGTAAATCTATTTCGAATTCGTGTACAATTTTGCATTTACAATTCTGCACGTACGGCATATAGCTATTTTATATCATAATCGTGTTATCCGATGAGTAACGAGTCGACTATTTCCCAATTCTACTTAAGGGGATGTGAAAGTGGCGTCCGAAAACTGAATCGTTCATTATATTTTTCTACAAATCGGGTGTATCAAGTCGTTTCAAACTCCACATGGTGAATATAGAGGCTGTAAGGAAGGTCTTGACCCTTGTGAAATTTCATTTATTAACAAATATGTTAAGAATACCTATGGAGAAATTTTTAGAAAATTGAAATCTAATGTCAGGACCTTTCTTAACCATTTTACTACGACGGGTGACTACAGTCACTCGCCACGAGATGTCGCCTGTACACGACGGGTGACTATGGTCACTTGCCACAAAACGCTGAATATGGAGGCTGTATGGAAGGTCTTGACCAACGTAAAATTTCATTTATTAACAAATATGTTAAAAATTCCTATGGAGAAATTTTTAGAAAATTGAAATCTCATGTCTGGGTCTTCCTTAACCATTTTACTACGACGGGTGACTACAGTCACTCGCAACGAGATGTCGCATGCACACGACGGGTGACTATAGTCACTTGCCACAAGACGCTGAATACAGAGGCTATATGGAAGATCTTGACCCTCGTAAAATTTCATTTATTAACAAATTTGTAAAAAATTCCTATAAAGAAATTTTTAGAAAATTGAAATCTCATGTCAGGAGCTTCCTTAGCATTTTAGTTACGACTGGTAACTAAAGTCACTTGCCACAAGACGCTGAATACAGAGGCTGTAAGGAAGATCTTGACCCTCGTGAAATTTCATTAACAAATATGTTAAGAATACCTATGAAGAAATTAAAAAAAAAATGGAAGAATGAAACATGGAGGGTATAAGGAATTATGCACTCTATATTTATATTGTAAAGTTTGAATCTATTCAATACACCCAGTTCGGAGAAAAGTTTCATAAACGAGACCTCTTCGACGTCACTTTCGCATCGCCTTAAAAGATATCTTGTAAGGGAAAGAAATTCGTACAATGGTTGCCACAAGTGAAAGATATCATGTTGGTCGTGAGCAGATGAGACCTTTTCTTCTTTATTTAAATTAAAGGGGTATTCGCCTTTGAGAGCCATTAAATAAACTAAGTACTATAGGAATTTCTTCTCATAGAAAGGAAACGCGATTAACGTGGAATTTTTGGGACTTGTTAATAAGTTCATTATTAATTTGAAAAGAAATCAATTTGAAGATAAACACGTTGAAAGTTTCCGGTCGGATTTTTACTGCGATAACGGCCTTATTTCCTTACCTATGGTTAATCAATATTTTCCATATGAAAGTCCTTCCTGCTGCTAAACAATTTCTTCTCTTAATGTTCTCTCGTTCGAGTGCCTTTTCATTTTATTCCTTTTCATCTCTTTACTTTTAATGTTTTGTCGTTCTTCTGGTTGGTGCGCCCTTACCTTCAAATCTTCTTAACTTCTAGAAGTCTCTACGGTTCTCGAAGATTCCTTCGCGTACTTGTCTTGGAAGAATGACAAAAAAGTAATGTGTAAATCGGAAGAGCCGATTTTTTCAGTCGCAAAGAAGCGAATACGCCCTTCGAGTCGATTTGAACGCGCATTGTATATCTCTCGCTGTGGTAATCGTAACATGACCAAGTCTTTAACTACGTACTTTTTCATATTCTGCACCCACGTAATAGCTCACTACTTTAAAACACGACATTAGGCTTAAAAGGAAGTTAATTCTCTTACGAAGTATCTAATCTCGGGTTAGCTTACGTATACTCGGCAGCGCGTTTCTTCCACGAGATGTACGCTGGGAGACATCAATGCCCTCCCAACCTGCACAGGCGATGTCGTATCTGTAGGGGAGGCATTCATGCCCGCCATTGTATTTTCCTCGGGACTGAACCGAGATTCTTTTTAACGACGCACGATTTCGGCTTCGCTTTTTGATCAGACAAATCTGACGAAGACGACGTTGCTGAAGAGGGCGGAAAGAAAAGGGAAAAGGAACATCCAGGATAACTCTCCTCGGCTATTTCCTAAGCCATTTCGCAGTGAAATCTAGAATCTCCCGCAAGGCAGTCTGAATTCCTAAAAGGACAATCCTCCATACCGAGCAATGCAGACAATAAGAAAAGAAACGTAATTGAAATTTAATCGATCCGATTGACGATGCGAGTTGAATTTATAACTGATATAGGGTAGATGGGATATTTTTATATCGATCCAGTTGTGGTGTTCCGTTCAGAATTGTTTAGTACATATCATGTCGATTAGAGAGTAGGTAACTTTCATTCAAGTATACTGTCCACTTGACAGAATGATTCGATGTTATGGTACATTATTCATTTTAGCATGCCGATGACAGTTGCCCGGTTACACCAATCTCGGTTAAATCATCGATTACCTAACCGTAGGTCAACGTTAAAGTCTATGTTAATCGTGGGTTAGAAACGTAAATGTTCCACCACGTTTATTTGGAGCGTGTTTAACTGATGGTATACACCATTCGAAGGGCTAAATTATCAATTGCCGTAGGTTAACGTTAACGTCTATATTAATCGTGGGTTAGGAACGTTAATGTTCTACTACGTTTATTTGGAGCGTGTTTAACTGATCGTATAAATCATTCAAAGTGCGAAATCATCAATTACCTGACTGTAGGTTAATATTAACGTCTATGTTAATCGTGGGTTAGAAACGTTAATGTTTCACCACATTTGTTTGGAACTTGATTAACTGATCGTATACACTATTCGAAATGTTAAATCATCGATTACTTAACCGTAGATTAACGTTAACTTCTACGTTAATCGTGGATTAGGAACGTCAATGTTGTACCATGTTTATTTGGAGCGTGTTTAACTGATCGTATACATCATTCGAAATGTTAAATCATCGATAACCTAACCGTAGGTTAACGTTAACTTCTGTGTTAATCGTGGGCGAGAAACGTAAATGTTCCACCATATTTATTTGGAACTTGATTAACTGATCGTATACACCATTCGAAATGTTAAATTATCGATTACTTAACCGTAGATTAACGTTAAAGTCTATGTTAATCGTGGGTTAGAAACGTAAATGTTCCACCACGATTATTTGGAGCATGTCTAACTGATCGTATAAATCATTCGAAGTGCTAAATCATCGATTACCTAACCGTAGGTTAACGTTAACGTCGAAGAAACAAAATTTTATTTAACATCTGAAGAAGTAAAGTTCTTTGGTTAAGAATTAATATAAAATATGTTCAAGCGTACTTCGATCATTAAGATATCGTAATTAAAATCAAAAATGTCTTTAACTGTTTCATCATAAGATGTTAATACATTCTCAATATAATCCATCTTTTCTTCGCATTTGTGCAGTTTTTAGGTTGAAGTTCGATTAACCGACGCTAAACGATCTAATTTGGCTGGTTAATGGAAACTAACCCGCCGTTAAAATGTGGTGGAACGTGCAACTCATTGTAACCGAGGATTAGCTTTTTGACCGAGGTTGGTGGAATCGGCCGTTTATCATGTTAAATGATTGCGGTGTCACTGATTGAAATTGAAATTCGTTGGCACGGTCTGCACGTTTATTTCGCTAGATACGCAAAGCGAAGGAATTGTTTTAACAAGAAATGTATATTGTGTGCCACATTTACTTATGATACTTACAGAAATCAATGGAGAGATGTTTTATGCCATTGTCGAAAGTACGGCTCACTAGCGCCGAGGTACTGCTTTCAAAGGGGCGAAATGTTCTCTATCGGTAAAGAAAAGCGCGTCTGCAGATTTCAAATACAGCACAGTATCGATAGAATGAAGTTATCGCCTTTTTGTTTTTAGTATCGGGGTCAACGTAGGTTGGGAAGGAAGACTACGAATACCAGATAAAGTTGTAATGCGTGGTTAATTGAGATTACGACGCGGCACCCTGTTTTACCGACCACGAAGATTTCCCTTTCAAAGTAGTTCCAATTTTTACAAAGGTGTAAAAGGAGTAGAGGGCGCCAGGGGGCCGCGCCTTTCAAACAATGGCGTGAAACATCTCCCCGCTCATTTCCGATACTTATTTGGTATGATCTGTAATCCTTCGATCGTGAAAGACGTGGCACAAGATTAAGGACTTTATTTTCTTTCGACCACGTCGCTTGTGCATTATTCCTTCCATTGAATTCCTTCCACGTGTCAAGTCGTGCCAATTGATTCCTTGGCTTCCTTATCCGTTTTTTGCGTCATTGAAACGTCAGTCATGAAATGTTTATACCATACGTTACACATTTAATGCGATACGTATAAGACTTTTTTCGTTTAGGACATGCAGTAGAATACACAAATATACCACCGTTTTAATGATAAAGTTAAGAATAGAGACGAATGTTAAATAAATTGATGCAAATCGATACAGATGCTTTCTATCTATTTTAAGAGATTCCACCAGGCGAGAGGACTATTAATGACTATTTAGGGTTAAGGTGAAGTGAAACACGTCGAGAAACTTGAGCTACCGTCGATAAAGATTTTTCGTTGCCGACGTTCGTTTTTATATTGACAGCTGTGTCGAATTATATTGGATATTGTACCAAATGGCATACACCACATGTCGTTTCCGTACAATAATTATAAAGAAATCGAAGTAAAACTCCAGAAATCCTCTGGATTCATGCTTTTTGGAGCTCTAATTGACTGAAGAGGGACCCCCTGCGCCATCTGTGATTTCCAGGTCAATTCAATTTTCACTCCGAGACCTCGTATTCCCATCGTTTTAGCATAGAAGCGCATACCACACTTATTTTGCCTTTATCCCGTTCAAATGCGAGTTTATCGATTATCAGTGTTCTAAATTGTCGTAAAATTGTCCCGACCCTTTCGTTTCTCATTTCGAAGCCTTCGATAATTGTATATTAATCGAAATATGAGAGCTCGACGCCATTTTGGTTGACTGCAGAGGGACCCCCTGCGTCATCTGTGATTTTGAGGTAAAATTTTCACTCCGAGACCTCGTATTCCCATCGTTTTAGGATAGAAGCGCATACCACACATTTTTTGCCTTTATCCCATTCAAATGCGAGGTTATCGATTACCAGAGTGTTCTAAATTGTCGTAAAATTGTCTTGACCCTTTCGTTTCTCATATCAGAGCCTTCAATAATTGTATATCGATCGAAATATGAGGGCTCGACGCCATTTTGGTTCTGGTCTGGGTTAAGTTAAAAAATTTTGTTGAAAAATCCAAATTTTGAATGTATCAGGACAATTCTTAGATGATCAAAGTTTCGGATAGTTTGGTCTAATATCCTTAAAAAAAGTGTTGTATTCGAATCGACTGATTTGAAGGGGGTTGCACTTCGCCTTAACCTCTCGAGGCTTTTTTAAGAGGGGCTTAATCTATTAATAAACTATCCTGAAAAATAGAGTTTATTTTTACCATTAGATTGGATACACAGTCACGAATGCGAATGCTACGTCGCAGATTTTGAGGAATATAAGAAAGAGAGAGATATCGAAATTAACATATTGTACACAATTTCTTACGAATGTAGTCAGCTTACATTACATAAACCTTTTCGATCTTTTTGTACGGGAATACTTCTTTGGTTTTCGGACAGACAACGGTGCCATTGTTTTCCTCGGCCATTTTCTCTAACGCCTGAAAGGAATAATTTTATCTTTGTGTAGAGTAATTATCTTTACATATCAAGCGAGGAAAAGTATATATATCTCTAAATAGAGAAAAAATAACCTCTAGAGGTATATTTACTTATTGCCTCTAGATAGAGGTATATACAAATTTCTCAGCACCTTTGATATCATCTTAAGCGACACATAGATTTTTGTATTATCTTGGCTAGAGAAGTAAATCAATGACACTTACATGCTCTCCGTAAACATATCCATTCGGCATCATCATGGGTTGATTGTATTCGTTCAAAGGTTTTCCACTGATGCTGCAGACTAATCTCGACTGCGAACAGTGTGCAAATGGCAATGGACTAGCCAATTCATTAAGAGCCTCGTTACAGACTGGACAACTGGGATTCCTTCCTTCCTTATTTGCGCTGTAACATTGTGGGGTTTTTAAGGCTGACAGGCCAGCTTGAAGGGCTACCGTAAATACACTTTGACTGGCCAACTGGAATAGCCTGTAGTTTTCATGGCGGAACTGCTCGATCAATCTATCCCACCTGTGTCAAACATAAATTCTAATTACTTTAACGCAACCACTGCCACGTGGATTTTAACAGACCTCCTGTTTACGCCTTAGATTATGTTACGTTAGAAAGAATAATAAAATACTACATTGAATTATAGCATGAATTGCACAAAAATATGACACGTAACACAATTTCAGCTTGTGTTAAAAAATCAAACGTGAATGGAAATGAATTATTACTGTACTAATAAATAATCTACTTCAGTACCGTTTCTCATCTAGAAGATCTCTGTAAGGACTGAAGAATGTAGTTGCAGGGAAAGCCAACTGACCCATACAACACTGAATCTCTCGAAGCTGGTAGTCGTCATAATTTGCAAAGCACTTTCTGGCATGCTTGACAGCATCTAATCTGCGATCGGCACGTACTAATTCTATGAACTCTTGAACTCGCAGGTTGAATTCCATAGTGCTTCCCATTTTACGTAATTTGGAGCGGTTATCGTGACACCAGCCGAGACATCGAGCAGTTTCATGATTAGCCAGTGACCTCTCTACATCTCTTGACACCATGAAGACATCTGCAGAATAAAACAATTTCTTTTTTACCTTTACAAGACCAATCGCATGTTTAAGGTGATATGAAAGGGTTATTCTACATGTATAAAACGTCACAACAAATTATTAAACTTTTCTCCAAACTGGCTGCACCGAATCATTTGGAACTTTGACACGTGATTATTGAGATCCTAATGAAGAACGTGATCCTTGTGAAATTTCATTTCATGTCCTTTTTAACAAAGGAAATCCCTGTTTAAGGTTGTAATTTCATAATTACCAATGTTAGTTAAATCTCTGAGTTCACTGCTGTCTGCCAATTTCGTAGCAGTTTTGTAATATCCTTTACGGAGGAAATATTCCACGAGCATTCTATCGAGTCTTTGTCTTCGCCATTGGTTCACGGCACTGGGAGCAGTGTTAGCGTGTTCCTTCAGGTGATCCAATCTCCTTTTGCAGACCATGCCAGCCTGTAGCTCTTCCGCGATCGACTCCTGTGCCTTGCGCTTTAAAACTTGAAGTCTAGCTACCATGCCACCCAAAAGGCGAGTTATTTCTCCAGTCGATACACTGGCACCGTCATCGCTTATTCCTTTCTCCAATTCGTTCGCTGCAGCCTGAACGTGCGATACTTCACGATCCAACGTTTTCTGAGCCAAACGGAATTTTTTGTTAAGAAGTTCGTACGGCACCTGCAAGTGGATTGCGCAAATCAGGAAACTTGGTAGAGTATCGTGCGAAATACATACACACTTGTCTACGCCAAACACATAATTTTTGAGACTCTTAATCTACCATTTTAAACAAGTGTCAAATATGTCGCAATATATTAACGTTTTTTTATTTTTTTTCATTACAGCACCGTAATAACGTGTAGAATAACAGAGTAAATAAGTAATGTCGAAATCCAGGTTTCTTATTGACATTATGAAATATTGCGTGTCGAAGTTAGTTTAAGAAAAAAAACCTCAATCGGGAATAAATTACGTCTCGAGTCGGGAAGGATTGTTGATAATTATCTCATGGAGAAACGGTAAGCAGAAGGTACCTTTAAAGTTGGATGTTCTAAACTCTTGACGTCTGACATGTCTTACACTTTGGGATACTCAACGCGAAGAATTTTCGATTACAGCCGTCAACACAATCCACTGTGACCCATCCGTCACAGTATGACACTATCTCTTTCCCTTAGTGGGGTATCGTTCATTGCTGTTAACTTTGGTGACTCTAATTTCCCTATAATATTTATCTCTTCGATCATATATTATGACCCGATTCCACACCCAAGGGGCCTATTACGTAAAGCAAATTGAGCGAAAATGTGAAAAGTGAGTAGCTCACGGTACTACGGAACGGTTTTGGTGGTGAAAATACGAGACCATTCATATGAATTGGCTCGACAGAAATTTTTAAACGAAATCGTGAAGCATACAAGAAAAGATAGAAAAAATAAGCGCCGCGAACGCTAGAACTTTTTAACACCAGAAATTTTTAAACGAAATCGTGAAGCATACAAGAAAAGATAGAAAAAATAAGCGCCGCGAACGCCAGAACTTTTTAACACCAGAAATTTTTAAACGAAATCGTGAAGTATACAAGGAAAGATAGAAAAAATAAGCGTCGTGAACGCCAGAAATTTTTAACACCAGAAATTTGTAAAGGAAATGGTGAAGCATACAAGAAAATATAGAAAAAATAAGCGCCGCGAACGCCAGAAATTTTTAACACCAGAAATTTGTAAACGAAATGGTGAGCATACAAGAAAATATAGAAAAAATAAGCGCCACGAACGCCATCTTCCACGGATTATGACACCGAAATTCAAAACGGAAAACCTCTCGGGTGTTTTGATTTTTAGCAACAATCGTATTCGGGGACGTAATAATAACCATATTAGAAAAAGAAGGGAATTGCGTGATGCCTCAGACCCATTTTCGTTAGAATTTACGAGGATGTACAGGTTACTTTTTGGTATTGCGAGGTTATATTTTTCTATCTTTTCTTATATGCTTCACCATTTCGCTCAAAAATTTGAGCGAGCCAGTTCATATGAATAGTCTCGAATTTTCACTACCAAAAACGTCCGTTATACCGTGAGATACTCATTTTTCACATTTTTACTCCGTCCCGAGCCAGTTCATACGAATAGTCTCGCATTTTCACCACGAAAAACGTCCGTTATACCGTGAAATACTAATTTTTCACATTTTCACTCCATCCCGAGCCAGTTCATACGAATAGTCTCGCATTTTCACCACGAAAAACGTCCGTTATACTGTGAGATACTCATGTTTCACATTTTCACTCAATTTGCTTTACGTAATAGACCCCTGGTCTGCAGCCGCCATTTTATTTACCCAACCTTGTTGGCGACACTGAGTGTAGCGAGTCTTTGGGAACTAGACTTAATTCGTCCCCAGGTTCAACAGGCGTTTGGAGTAAAGTTTGATTCAGTGATAAGCCTTGATAAGTGACAGAGTAGTTGAAGCAGTTCAGTTCGTCAAAAATTAAATATGATTAGGATTGATTTAAAGGTGGTGTTACTAGGCCCAGCGAAAGTTGGGAAAACGAGCTTGGCGCAACGTTTCGTCAATGAGAAATTCAACGAGCACATGTCCTATCAAAATGTAAAGTGGCTAAGTAACTCCCACTGATTATCATCAGTGACGTTTCACCGGTTACTCAACGGAAATTGAATTTGTCAGTCAGATAATAGAGATTGTAAGAATGAAAGGGTCTTTGCTATATTATATGTAAAGTATCGTGTGTCCAGAAGAGGTTAGAGAAAAAGAATATTTTTTGTCTCTTAGATTCAGAAAGTACATTTTTTAAGGTTTATCGTCTTCGATGACAACTTTTATACCAGACTATATTAACACATTCGTGAAGGGTTATGTAGTATTACGCTGTGTTGCTGTGTTACCCGTCAGGAATGTGCTATATTTTGCGTTATAGCTTTTACATGTAACGTACTTTCAAATACTTTCTTTTGTATTTCTGTATCAACAGAATATTACTATTTCTGCTGCATATGCATGCGATGTGTCTATGAAACAAGATACTTTGTTTAATTTTTTGTAGAATATCCTGCTCCCGTTGTCAGCCTCTATTCATATGAACTCTATAGTTAGGTTAGATTTTAATGACTATCGTCTATTTTCTTGCATTATTCAATTATCAATGAAATTTAATATCTATTACGATGTACCTCATCCGTAACGCAATTTAAGAATTTATACAATACAGAGTTCAAGGACGTTTAATGAAAGAAGAAAATAAAATTGATAACATGTCTCGTGTGTCAGTTATTTCTATTGTCTCGCTTCTCTTATTCGAAATGTCTGAGTCATATATTAAATTGTACTCGAGCGTTGAAATGTGAAATTTGCATTCGATACATATTGAATTATAAGTCGTTATAAGTTATCGTTAAATAAAAGCAATACGGTTCTTAATTTTTGAAGGGATTAAAAAATGATGTTTAAAACGTACGGAATCATTGATGTATGTTCGATGCTATTCTAATTTAGCATATCTTATTTTTCTTAGTCCGTGACACTGGAACGGCATATGACTATGAGTACTAACTTTTGAATTATAATCGGCATAAGGGGTTCCCGAAAATGTCTAATACAGTTCCACTTTCCATAGACAATTGGAGTTGCATTTACATCCAAACAAATACAAATTAATAATGATCAATCGATAGTCATGGGACTATGGGATACGGCTGGTAGTGAAAGGTATGACAAATTTCTTTCCTGAAGTACAAAGACAAAGTTGGACAATGATTAGATTCAAACGTAACGTTAGAAAATTGACAATGCATAAATGCGATACGTTTTACAGGTATAAAGCAACATCTAAGATATATTATCGTGGAGCTAGTGCGGCAGTAATTTGCTACGACGTTATAGATCGAGATTCGTTTCACGACGCTAAATCCTGGATACAAGAGCTTAGAAGTGTCGAAGAAGATTGCAAAATTTACTTGTGCGCAACGAAAGCAGATCTCCTGGAGATTGGTCACGAAGCATCGCCTTCTTTAGACATGGTTAAGAGATATGCAGCTAGCGTACAGTTCAAGTTCTTTTTGACATCGAGTAAAACTGGTTTCAACGTCGGTAAGAACATAAGTCAACAGTGTCTCTAACCTCTTTTCTTACATCTTAATTTTGCTTCTTTGTCTAGCTGAACTGTTTCAAGAAATCGCACAGGACTATATGTTAAATCCAAAAAGAATCGTACAGCCAGCGGAAGATTTGATCACCTTAAATGTCCATACAAAACGATCCCGTTGTTGCCGCTCGTGATAAGTCAAGAGTTGTGTAATATAAACGTTTTATCTACCAGATGTACACATCTGTCACATGTCCGTAATGACTAAAAACTTTTATTTCCTAGTAACCTTTCGATGCGAACGTTGATGCTTATTGTTACCATTTTTATATCGTAACAGTATTATAAAATAGCTTATTTGTTGTGTTCTATCAGTGGTTGAAATCGGTTTACATGGAATTAGAAATTACATCCCAGTGATCCTATATTTTGAGATAAAAGTGACTTTCATAGGAATTGCAGAATTGATCTTAATTTTAATTTCTTTTCTTTCTTTTCCGGTCAAATTTCTTCTTACTTCGTACGAGAAGAAACGTTAAATGTTTATACACTGATCTCATCTTACATGATCATTTTTAATGGACCATTGATCAATGCAGGACATTTGTTAATGCAAACTGTATCCGATGTTAAGACTACTCACTACTTTATACATATCGAAATGTCTAGTTAAATGAGACATCTCTTGCGGTCTATACGTGACGTAGCAATTTAATTGATACGTGTGAATAATTCCTTGTACACTCGGATGTATGCGAATGGATGAAGATTAGATAACAATATAAGATAAGACAACAGTTAAAGATAAATGAATATTACTCATATAAGTGTAAGTCTTGAATGGATGAACTAAGCTTGGATACTTGCGCCATATAGTAGTAACTAAGTAAAGCTCTATTGTCTTTAAAGAATTACTCCTGATATCTACAGTAACGATGCGATGGAATTGTATGAATAGTTATTGTATATCGAACATGAAAGAGAATATTTTATTAAAATTGTACATCGCATAAGTCGGAAATAATATTTAACATAAGCGAAAGAAACCATTATATTTTTTATTATAATTATTCGCGCACGATATGTAACAAGACTTACGGCTTAAAGTGATGATATGGGATCTCGAATTTTCGTTTGATTATCAATGACGTCATCTAGTCGTTTAATGACACGTCGAAATTGTAATCCGTACTAAAACGTCGTTGTACAGCAATACCTAATATATGGTTTGTTTCGGATCTCAATGTAATTGCATATCATAATAGCTGCTGTTAATTTACTCATACATGTTAATTCTTTTTATTTTATCAAATAAAGTTAATCTTAATAAATAACAGGGTATTTAAATAACAAAAAAAATAATAATGTTTCTAATGCTGTAATAGTTTCTTTGGACATGTCGGTTTGTAATATAAAACATTATTTACAAAGAGAATCGGTATAACGGTGAATTGTTATACTATCAATTCTCACTTTTAACTTGGGAGCCTAAGCTGATAACAGTTATCTTAATTCATATTATCGTATCGATGCAAATCCAGATGCGAAGCATTATTATATAAAATTATCTGCGATAATTTTTTTTTATCAAATGCCCGGTATTCCGCTCGTACTTAAGGTGAAGTGAAACACCCTTCAGATCAGTCGATTCGAATACAACACTTTTTTTCAAGGGTATTAGACCAAACTGTCCGAAACTTTGACACATCACTCCTGATCATCTAAGAATTGTCCTGACACTTTCGAAATTTGGATTTCTGTAAACAATTTTGTAACTTAGTCCAGACCAGAACCAAAATGGCATCGAACTCTCATATTTCGATCGATATACAATCATCGAAGGCTCTGATATGAGAATCGAAAGGGTCAGGACAATTTTACAACAATTTAGAACACTCAGGTAATCAATAAACTCGCATTTGAACGGGATAAAGGCAAACAAAGTGTTGTATGCGCTTCTATGCTAAGACGATGGTAATACAAAGTCTCGGAGTGAAAATTTAGTTGATATGGAAATCACAGATGGCGCAGGGGGTCCTCTGCAGTCAATTAGGGCCCCAAAAAGTATGAATCCAGAGGATTTCTGGAGTTTTACTTCGATTTCTTTATAATTACTGTACAAAAATTACAGATGGAGTATGCCATTTGGTACAATATCCAATATAATTCGACACAGCTGTCAATATAAAAACGAACGTCGGCAACGTAGGCATTTAGGAAAATCTTCTTTGTCGACGTCGACCAAGTTCCTCAACGTGTTTCACTTCACCTTAAGATTAACTTATGGAAGCGACTTGTTTAAGATTCCGACGAGGGAAAGTATGGAAAAAAGCGGGCAGAAATTTCCTTGCATTGCTCGAACAAGCCGAAATATAGGAATCCTCCCATTGCGAAGCCACAAACTCGTGGAGTGAATCCAGCGAACAATCTAAAATAATTATCTGACTGGTTTAATGATTTCGGGAAGTGTCATTAAATGATATTTACCCACGGACGCCGGATTCATTGTAAACTTCCTTCAGCATGGTAGAAATTTTAACTTCTTCCTTGGCTGCCGATGTACAAGATAACATGATTCTAGTTTTCGCCACGTCCAAGGGAGTCGTAATAGCACCGGATATTGCCACTAGAACATAAGATTTTAAACATGCTTATTGAAAGCTCTCATATGAGAAACGAAAGTGTCAGAACAATTATATAACAATTTACAACACTTTTGTAATCGGGACTCGTATTTGAACGAGATGAAGGCAAAACATATGTCTCATGCGCTTCTATGCTAAAACGAGGTCTTGGAGATAAAATTTAGTTTACATTAAAATCACAGATGGCGCAGGGTGTCCCTCTGCAGTCAATTAGGGCCTCGGAAACCATGAATTCATGGGATTTCTGGAATTTTACCGCGATTTCTTTGTAATTATTATACGAAAATAACATATGGTATATGCCATTTAGCTGACAAATGACTTATGATTATCTAAGAATTGTCCTGACACTTTCAACGTTTGGATTTTCGAAGAAAATTTTTTAACTTAGCCCAGACCAGAAGCAAAATGGCGTCGAGCTCTCATATTTCAATCAATATACAATTATTGAAGGCTCTGATATGAGAAACGAAAGGGTCAGGGCAATTGTATGGCAATTTAGAACACTCTAGTAATCGAGCAACTCGCAGTTGAACGGGATAAAGACAGAAAAAGTGTCTCATGCGCTTCTATGCTAAAACGATGGCAATACAAGGTCTTGGAGATAAAATTTAATTTTCATTAAAATCACAGATGGCGCAGGGTGTCCCTCTGCAGTCAATTAGGGCCTCAGAAAGCACGAATCCAGAGGATTTCTGGAGTTTTACTCCGATTTATTTATAATTTTGTACGGAAACGACATATAGAATGTGCCATTTAGTATAATACCCAATATGATTCGAGAAAGCTGTCAATATAAATATAAACGTCGGTAACGTACGTATTTAGAAGAACCCTTTTTACTGACGTTGAAGAAATTTCTCGACGTGTTTCATTTCACCTTAAGTATTGTGAAAATAATTACGGAAATGCAACAAATATGTGTAGTGAATAAATGTTTACCTGAAGCCAAGCCGCAGAAAGCAGATTCAAATGGTGTACATTCGCGGTTAACATTTTGTTTCCAACGTAGCTTAAAGTACTCCCACAATGGCATTTGAATTATGCTAAATGGTAAATCACGTAACACAGTACTTCCATATCCCCTATAAAGGGTTCGTCCTGATAAATGTGTGCTATCTGCCAGCAGTGCTTGTCTTCTCTGTTTGAGCACTTCCATTGGGACACGAATTAAACAGGATATCTGTTGATATTAATGTTTATTATTTTATTTGCAATCATAAACCGTGAAATTAATATTGGAACTTTGCATCATACCAATTCCGCTACAGATGCTGCACTCATGTGCACGAATACATGGTATTCTTTTGATAAGCATGGTTGCGTAATGTCCTTTATTGCTTCATATGTCACAAAGAAGACCGAAGCTGTAAAACTGAGCTTTTGAAAATTTGTAAGAACTTTATAAATAATGGTTTTAAATTTAACTCGGAGTATGTATAATATATATATAAAATTGAAGAAAATTAATGATGCATCCAAAGAAATAGTTTTAACGAATGAATGACAAATTGAATTTATTCTTCAATATTTTTAGAAGTACAAAGTTAAAACAGCGGCATCTTCTGAGAACATTATTATGGATGTTCATTTATAAGGATGATCAGTGCGTTCAGAGGTTCTTGCAAATAAAGTCAAAGAATAGATTATGTATACTAATGTTAAAATCAGGGATTAATCCTTTGTACTTAAGAGGCGACTCTTGGTTGCCACTGACAGCTCGAATTGCAAAAGCATTGAGTGCAAAGGGTTAAAAGAAGTGTATACAACTAAGTAAATTTACATTGCACATACTCTGTTTTAATTTAAGTAAATCGATGTAAATATTTTATACTTACATGACGATCCAGATCCCACTAGAACGGGAGTCAAACCACAGTATAAACGTTTGAAGCCACCAGACTTTACGAATCCATGTTGACTTTGTAAACGTGTTTTCAAGGTATCCAAAGGGAAGAAAACCAGATCACAGATAGTTCCTGCTACACCTCCAGCCTAATTTTTTCAATCGACATTTGAATCATGATCAAAAGATATATTTATTAATCATTAAAAGTATAACACTTGCGTGTATATAGAAAATACAGAATAACAGATATTTGTCCACACAACACATACTTACAATTAAAGTGTTGATAAGTAGATTTCTTCTAACAGTACCATGTATTGGTTTTGCTTCTTCATTTAACATATCTTGTACATATGTAATGCACATGGGACCAAGTCACATGTACAGTATTGTAAATAGTATAAAGTTTAAGGCACTGTACTGACAAACTTCTTATCAATCTGTTAAAAGTAAAACGTTGATTTTAACGATTATTACCAACAAAATGTATCGTCAATGAGTAATAATGAATTACCATTATGTAAATTGCATGCTTTATCCTTTCTCTTGTACCTGCATCGAAAAACGAAATATCTCGGCATTGCAATATTTGAAAATATTGTACGGAGAAACCGTCACGGGTGTAACAAAGTAAAAAACTTAAGAATTTACCAAAGCGGTGTTGAATAGTTGAACGTATTGACGATGTAAAGCAGTTATACAATCTTTGCACTGTGCTTTAGTAATTATATTAAATCAAGCATTTTGTACTGTAAAAGAAACGTAAATCATTAGCGTCATATCATACAATAATGTAACATCTTTGACCATTAATATATGAATATCCGATCGATATGGTCAGTAAAATAATGCATAATTATAAAGGAATATAACGATGCAAGATAAAAAAAAGTGCTTATCATTCGGAGAGCAAAAATTTTATTGCATGCAACTATCGAGATTTACTGCATAAACATGGTTGTCTTTGGTAATAAGTTCTAGGTATATTACCTTAGAGGAAAAAACATTCTCCATAATAGTGTAAGTCATAACCTTTTCATTTAAGTGCAGAATTGTGAATAATTCCAGCGATTCGGTATATAGGTGTAGAAAGGCAACTGGGAAGCTGGTTGTTAAATTCCGATATCGGAAGAAATTGTCTAAGGCAACGATTTCCAATTATTTTACGGAAAACTAAGTCCTTTAATCGATAGATGTGCAACTAGATCGATTAAAATCCTATGGTTAATTTATAAATGTTTATATTAGAAGATAGAAATAGTTGAAAGTACCGTGGGATCACAGATCACCGGTAGGTGAGGTTAAAACTGTCTGCTGTTTCGTCTGCTATCGATTGAAGCGTGTTTCAGAATGTAACTAGTAACTCTTAGTGTGGCCAATCTATGAAGTAAAGAATCCACTAGATGGCTTGTTTAAAAACCACTAGAAAACCGCTTTCCTCGGAATTAAGGTAAAGTGAAACCAGGGCGTTTATTACGTATATTTGACGAGCGCGCTCACTTCTCGCACTTTCATCTCACGTAGATTCATTCGCCGAATTACGTATTCGCTATATGCAGAAATGAGCAGCTCATCTCTGCTATATGGAAGAACGAAATCACTAGCACTTCCGGTCTAGTAATATTGCAAATAAAGGTATATACCTTGTAAATCGAACATTGTTGAAAGGTTGGGTTATAGACAGGAAAGGCGGGAAGATGGAAAACCGTTAAAAGTAAAGAAGAGGACTCAAGTCTATTCATACTTTTTAAATATGAATAGACATTAATATTTACTTGTACTATAATTAGAAGTTCAACAATATTATTTTCTTATCATGTCATGTAAGCATGGATTATTTAATAGTTTTCAGTGTTTAATAATGTAATATAACCTCGCAATAACAAAAACTAACCTGTAAATCCTAGTAAATTCTCTTTCATCTAACGAAAATAGGTCTGAAGCATCACGTAATTCCCTTCTTCTTCTAATAACCTTCCAGAAAGCTTCCCGGTTTCTGGTATAACAAGAACCAGCCCAACCATTCCGTAATTCCAACATACGTAACATACGTAGCCATATGTACCCGTAAAAATCGAATTCTTTTCGTTCTTTTATTTTTTTTAAATGTGTAAATAAAAAAATTGTTTCAATTCCACACAGAGGATTGTGATTCATATTCCTTGGCTCCATTCTTATTCTCGTATTTTTTTAATTCTTGTGAATCCCGTTCCCCTCTATTTTTCAGAGAGAATTGATTGAGATTAGATTTTGCTTGTTTTTATCACTAATGGAATAAAGGGCAAAGGAAAAATCAGGTATTCACTGGAATTAATGTGTTCAATTCCAATAAAAATTTCAATTCAAATTAAAATTTCAATTCCAATAAAAATTTCAATTCAAATTAAAAATGTGTGCTATCTGCCAGCAGTGCTTGTCTTCTCTGTTTGAGAAATTGTACATCGCATAAGTCGGAAATAATATTTAACATAAGCGAAAGAAACCATTATATTTTTTATTATAATTATTCGCGCACGATATGTAACAAGACNTCCAATCAAAATTTCAATTCCAATCAAAATTTCAATTCCAATCAAAATTTCAATTCCAATCAAAATTTTAATTCCAATCAAAATTTCAATTCCAATTAAAATTTCAATTCCAATCAACTCCAGCCTTTTTACCGGGCTGTTAGCTATGTTTATTATTGGGAACTGTGTTTTCTTACCTAACCTAGGGACAAATTCCTTCCCCGTTTCTGGTATAACAAGAACCAGCCCAACCATTCCCTAATTACAACATACGTAACATATGTAACCATATGTAATCATAAAAATTGAATTTCTTTCGTTTCTTTTTTTAATTGTGTAAATAAAAGTGTTCAATTCCAATCGATTCCAGCCTTCTTACCGAGCTGTTAGCTCTATTTGTAATTGGGAACTGTGTTTTCTTACCTAACCTAGGGACAGATTCCTTCCCGGGTTCTGGTATGACAAGAACCAGCCCACCCATTCCCTAATTCTCGCCAGGTCAGTGACTGTTAGAGAGGTCCGAAGAATTTCGTCCGTTCGAAGAAGTAAATCCGGTTTGATGATGTCAGAATTGGACGCATAACGGATGGGCCCGACCTCGTTTTTGGACAACTATTATGCTTAATCGCTGGTGAAATATATTAATCTTTTTCCTGGTCGCAATTACGAATATATTCAGAAATATACACGTGGGAATATATGTAAATCGATGTATTATGTGAGTATATATGTGTGTCCTAAATTCCAGGTCAACCGCAGGACCAGGATGTTCTCTGATGGAAAAGTTAAGATCCTGGTTAAGGTGATATGAAAGGGTCTATGTACAAAAAACAGAATATACATAAAAAAGGTGATATGATAGGGTCATTCTATATATTGGGTTGTCTCATAATTTCGTGCGGTTTTTTTAGATTCAAAATTGCACCAATGTCATTGATTAATTTTTGTATTAAACAAAAAGTAAAAGAAAAATAAAACCGCACGAAATTACGAGACAACCCAATACATAAAACGTGAAAATATTTATAAAACTTTTCGCCAAGCTGGGTGCATCAGAATATTTGAAACTTTAGTACGTGATTATGGAGGCCCTCAGGAAGAACGCGATGCTTGTGAAACTTCATTTCTCACAAGAAAATGGTTCTAGTCTAGGCTAAATAATAACATTTCTTTTTGTTGAAAAAATGAAATTTCACGAACATCGCGTTCTTCCTTAGGGCCTTCATAATCACATGCTGATGTTTCAAATGATTCGGTGCGCCCAGTGTGGAGAAATGTTTCATAAATATTTTCACGTTTGATGTATTGGGTTGTCTTACAATTTCGTGCGGTTTTATTTTTATTTTACTTTTTAATTAAAAAAAAATTAACATAACAATTAATCAATGATATTGGTGCAAATTTGAATATAAATAACCACACGAAATTATGAGACAACCAAATATATTGAATGACCCTTGAGTTCCAAATGAGTGACACCCTCATGACTACTTTCATGATCTCTTATGAGGGAAATTTGGGGAAAATTTTGCATTACTTAGTCTATCTAGGATAGGTAACGCGATGAAAAATCATTTTGCGAGTGATTGCTGCCGTAGGTTTGACTCAATGCAGAAGGTAGAGTTGTGAGATATGAGTTCCAAATGAGGACTCATAAGCGACACCCTCGTGATTAGTTTCATAATTCCTAATATGGGAAATTTGAAGGAAATGTTGCATCACTTTGTCTATCTGGGATAGGTAGCACGGTGAAAAATCATTTTCCGAGTGATTGCAGCCGTAGGTTTGACTCAATGCGAAGTTCAGAGTTGTGAGATATGAGTTCCAAACAAGGACTCATACGTAACGCGGTGAAAAATCCTTTTGTGAGTGACTACTGGCGTAGGTTTGACTCAATGCAGAGTGTAGAGTCGTAAAGTCCGCTCGACAGGGAGGAGAGTCCGTTCTCCGCGGAGAAGGAGGCTCGAGGTTTAAGCAAGGTGCACCGTGACACCGGCTTAAGGTGAGCTAAAGAGCTGCTCAGGTAGGTAAGTACCGTTTGCCGAGCCACGTTCAATGCCAGTCAGGCCAAGACGTTCGTTGCGTAAGGTGCTTGAACCCTGGCTGAACTTGAACCTTCGAAAACGTGAACGGTGCTAAAAAGGTGCCACTCGGACGGGTCGCCTGAGATTATTCGCAAGGTACGTTTATACGCTAATCAGTGATTTTTTTACCTTCGAGGTGTACTTCGTGTCAGAGGAATGATAACGGTACCCCTGACGTTTGGAATATCTAAGAAGAGGAGTTACTAAAGTGCGCATGGCTGCCTGAAATGCGTGCACATTTTTTATTATCCATTCTGTAATAACAATACATTTTAATGTAACCATACAAGGGTATGAACGATAACGGTACTACTGGTAATTTGGTTAAATATCTAAGAAGAAGGATTATTAAAGTGCGAATGGTTGCCTGAAACGCGTGCATGTTATTTTATTATTTATTCTTTAATAACAGTACATTTTAATGGAACGATATGAATGATATGAATGATAACGGTACCAATGACGTTTTGGACAAATATCTAAGAAGAGGAGTTACTAAAGTGCGCATGGCTGCCTGAAATGCGTGCACATTTTTTATTATCCATTCTGTAATAACAATACATTTTAATGTAACCATACAAGGATATGAATGATAACGGTACTACTGGTAATTTGGTTAAATATCTAAGAAGAAGGATTATTAAAGTGCGAATGGTTGCCTGAAATGCGCGCATGTTTTTTATTATTTATTTTTTAATAACAATATATTTTAATGGAATGATATGAACGATATGCACGATAACGGAACCACTGACATTTTGGTCAAATATCTAAGAAGAAGGGTTAATAATAATAATTTATAATGCCCTAATTTATTATGCCCTTCTGTGCTAAAACGATGGCATTATGAGGTCTCGGAGTGAATATTTAGTTAACACGGAAATCACAGATGGCGCAGGGTGTCCCTCTGAAGTCAATTAGGGCCTCGGAAACCATAAATCCGGAGAATTTCTAGAGTTCTACTTCGACGTCATTATAATTATTGTACGAAAACGACAAGTGGAGTATGCCGTTTAGTACAATACTCAATATAATTCGACACTGCTGTCAATATAAATACAAACGTCGCCAATAAAACCGTAATCAAAAATATGCATTGCACAAAATCGTTCGACATAAGCCTAACCTTAAAATGCCAGGTATAGTGTTAACGATTGTTATGTACAAACTTAACACGACAAAATACATTTAATGGTAACACTAAGTCGTATAAATAAAATTTACAGGAGAAAATCAAAATTTCCGGCCTAAGTCGCCCAGAAAAAATGCATACCGTCAATTAAAATTAATAAGTTATATAGGGTATACTATAGATATTTTCCTGCATAGTATACACTATATACACAATTTCTGCAGCCTTTAGGCATCATAAAAAGGAATTGCAGTAGGTTATGACGTTTAGTATGAAAATGATTAATAATTTACTCCGACCATAACACTATGCACATTTATGGTGTAATAACGAGGTGCATCCTACATTTTCCACGTTTTACCGTTAAACCTCCTTTAAGCTTATCTAATGTAATTACTCGTATCATAACGAGCATAATTGACTATACAATTGCACGTAATACTTTGGATTAACCGCGTTAATAATTATATTATTACAAATTAACAGTAAAAATGGTTATCCAAGGTGATTGAGAATCATTGTTATTTCACGTATCAATGCACAATTGGCTAACAGGGTGTATAATTCAATTCCTTATTTAGAAATAAAAAATTTACTCGTTAACAAAATTAAATCGAAACGTCATCCCCTGAAATTAAACTTTACGATTTAAGCAGAATTTTATATAATAAATAACAATGCCTTTATAAATATTAATGAGTTCCAAGGCAGATTGCAAGGAATTGAAATTGTTTAATTGATAAATAAATGTAAAAGTCATCTAATGAAATACAA